TCTGGCCCGGTGAATTCATGGTAGCTAGATGGCGCAGCGCATATATATCCCTGGCCAGCGATCATGCGCGCAAACCGTGCAACAGGGCCAGTAACTGGGCTCTGGCATTAGAACTATCCTCTCATGGCATCAAGTGGTACTATACCTTGATAAATCTCACTGAACACCACTACTCCAGGAAACTTTGCATCCGGATAGCCTGGGATAGTCGGATGGAAGACATATATTCCTATTCATACGGGATCAGCATGGAATTGGATATATGATGCTGATATTGGTCTATTCTGCAGGGTAAATGTATGCAGTATATTTCTGTTATGTGTGGACAATTTAAATAAACAGAGAAGGAATACATTCCATCTTTTGGACATCTGAAACTCCCTTTTGATGAACAGAGATTATATTTGTGTGGAAGTCTCAGGGAGGGCCATGTACTCACTCATCTGCCCCTCCCCGCCAATAGTTGTTTTCACGTCGTAGGTAGATTCCTTGACCAGCATGTTTGCGATTGAAAAGACAACAAATTGATCGTTGAACTCTAGTCGATCATATAAATGCTAATTACATCTAGTTGATATCACTCCACTCCTTTCAAGCGGACCGCGCTGTGTTGATATCTAGATGATAGCATGGAAAGTTGACTCGCTCCATGTTCCTAATTCCTGCATCGAGGCTAATAAACTTTAACTACCACCAATCAAACCTTTAGCATCAATACCAAATGATATCCACCAGAGTAAGGACGTTTATACATACATAGTAGTATATGATGTGTCGCCAGCTAAAGAAACTATTCGCATAAAGGGCCAAGGTTACAAGTCATTCAACTCCTTGGCCGTAGCGTAAGGGATGAAAACACGACTACAAAAGCAGAATATGAAGCCAGGAGCCCCTTTTTGTTGATACGTTTCTCAATACATGTTTTGATGAGGGAAGCAAGCTGCTTAAAAGGCGGTGGGTTGAAGGATGAGGGAGGAACTGAGAAGACGAGGGGATGGCGAACGTAAAGGGGAGGTTGGGAGGTTGGGAGGTTGGGAGGTTGGGAGGTGGAAAGGGAGGTTTTTGGTTAATAAAAATAGTACGGAACCAGGATCCCGTGCATTATGCACCTTATATATGCTGCCACAGGTTATACAGATATGTGCAGAATATGTAGTAATGCAAATGAGCAGGGGTTACTTTGATAGTTTGAATATTTTTAAGTTAATAGAGAGGTATGTAGGGCAGGGTAGGGCAGGTCAGGGCAGGGCAGGGTGAATAGATGAGGCGTAGTAAAGCATAGCATTGTCCTTTGGTGTTTGTTGATGCCAATGCTCGCTTATGCGCTGTGAATACGCTGGTAAAACAAGAGATATGCAACTTTGTTGTCTCGAGAAGAACCGAAACGGGCGCTGCTGGTTGCTGTGGGTGTGCCTTTGCCTGAATCAGCCTTTGGCGAGGCATTCCCGCTGGCGGCGGCGGCGGCGGCAGCAGCTGCGGCCATAGACTTCTGTCTAGAGTGGCTGCCGGAGCCGGAGCCATTGACTTGGCTCCATCCCCTTCCGTTGTCTGGGTGGTCTTGCTCGTCAGGATCAAATTGATCATAAATGTTGTTACTGGTGATTTGTTCTGTGGAGTTGTTATGGCGCTCAAGAGCGGCAGAGAGTAGTTTTGGATCCTCCTCGCTGCCACCATAAGCTACCTCTTCGCTCCGTACACGACGGATATAGGTGTCGTCGAAGCGGACCCATTCTCGTCCATCTTGTCGACGGACTTCGACTGTGTAATGTCCTCCACTTGCGCTCTTACCATGATGATAAATCACTCCAATGAGCCGGTATTTTGGGAGGCTGCCATTCTGGGCAGATAGGGTATTACGGCGGTGTGGGGGGAAGACTTCCTTGGGAATCTCAAGCTCAAGTGGGTAACCTATCTTTTTCCAGATTTTCTGCGTACCATTGGTCACATTATCGTACTGGAAGCGCTTAAGGTGAAGTACGAGGACTGGGGGAAGGTGTTCAATGAACACCTGTTTGGTGGCATTGACTTTGGGGCCACGAGAAGATTGGAAATCCCCGTGCATAGTTTCAGGTTTAGTTAGGCCCTTAAGCGCGTCGATGATGTTGTTCACTTGAGGAGAGCCAATGTCAAGTTGGAGAGATTGATAAGGCTCGAGAGTCACTGAATTTTTGTTTCCAGGCACTCTGAATTCGGATCGAATTTTTCCGCTAAAGATTCGTGTAATGGGGGATTCACCAGAGCCATCACCGGATGATCGGGTGACTGATGCTTTCTGTTTATGGCCAACTTCCAGCCATCCGTCACCCGTAGACTCATCTCCGATGGAATGGGCGTCCACGTCAGAAGAAGTGGAGGCATCAGACTTGTCAGCTATGGCGTTCTTGGTGGCGTGGAGGCACTCTTCATGAAGCTCCTCGAGAAGGAAACCGAGAAATTCCTGGGCATCTTGCTGATGACCCCGCTATAAGTAGGTTTAGTATATTGAACATATAGATAGGACGGGAAAGGCTTACTCTCATGTCCCTGAAACGTGGGAGATGTCGAATAACTTGATAAACATATTCCGGAATAAAAGATTCACCGTACTCCTCCAATTCGTTTTGTTTCAACCGAAGCCTTAATTTTTCCACCGAAGATGCCGCATCAATAACCCTGAATTCCCGTAGAAACATAATCCTAAAGACTGAAAGTTAGATTTGACTATAATTTACCAAGCCGGGAGCACGACTTACATAGCATCCACTAAAGGACTGTCACTTTTGAAGCTATGGGCCGCACGACGGCCGATCTGGTCAAGAAATTCATAAAATGGAACACAAAAGATTAAAACTTGTAGAATCTGAACCGATAGTTAGAAGTGGAATCTTCATATACCGTGTCACGCGAATAGAACTTACAGAATTCATATAGCACATATTTCCTGTATTTACAAGGCCACGAGGTTCTAAGAAAGCAATTTTTTCACTGTATTGCTCAACATTTGCACCGAAGCTGTTCAGCGCTTCGGCCAGGGATTCACCCCGAGAGAGCGTCGGGGCACCAGCTTGAGGAGAAGGAGCGGCTGCTTTGTTTGCAGCCGCCTTCGAGCGGACAAGGTCAGCCCATGATTTTGGTGCCACTCGTTGAGGTGCTGGGGATGGAGCTGCATTGCTGGCGGTCTCAGAGGACGCTGCTGGCCGAGATCCTTCTTCAGTGGCGGCTTGTCCATTTTCCAGGGCAGTGGATGCTGTTGCTTCAGTTAAATCCGGCGTTCCAGGAGTAGGGTGAGCTGAAGACCTGGACTGCTTGGGAGCTGATGGGCTTTGAGGCATCAATGGAACCACAGGGATTACCGGAACACCTGGCCTTGTAGTGCTGGCCTGCCGGGTATGCACAGGAGCTTGTTGGGTGCTGGAAAGAAGAGATAGGGTATCTGGTTCGGGTAGGGGGGCGGCGGTAGGCTCTGGCTGTGCGAGTGGCTGTTCTTCGATGTCTTTTGCTTGTGGCTCAGCATTTTCAGCGTCGGTTTCGCCCTTGCAAGGCAATTCTACTACAAGAGAAGAGGAAGGCTGGGCAGGCCGATTCTTACGGCGTCGTCGTGGAGGCTTGGACGGGAAGGGTGCTTCTGGAACAGAGAGCCACGGGAGCTGTGGCAGAGAGAAAACCAGTCAGTAATCACATTGCTATACTTAGTTTGCCAATAACACAAGGTTGCAAACAACACCGGACTCACTGGTGGTTGGAATACCTGTCTTACGCCTGACCTAGTATCTGGCCTTTTGGCGGTGATTGGAGGAGGGGTAGGCCGTGCACTATTGTTGACAGAGGCACTGAGAGAGGCATTACTCTCCACCTCGCTGCCAGACCTCGTTGGCAGATACTGTGTGGACTGGTCCTCCTGTGGCTCTGTAATTGCCGGTGTAGACAAGGAAACCGGAGGTGTAGGTGAAAATGGGGACGGCTGAGATGTAATGGGAGTGCTAGTCTGTGTCCGGGGCGCCGGAGACATGTGCGGCGGCGGTGGTTGGTGGCTCGGTGGTTGAGGCCGAGGGTACGAGCAAACGATCAACGGGGTATTATACTGTGGGTAAGGCTGCATAGGAGGAGGGTGAGGAGGCATCTGCTGATAGGGATACCAGTTCTGGAAGTTTTGAGGCCCGTACGGCGGAGGCATAGGCACTGGTCCGTGAGCGTGTCCGTGAGCGTGTGCATGTCCGAGTGTATGTGGATGCGGGTGAGGGTGATGGTAGGCCATGTAGCCAGGCGATCGAACGTTGGGAGGCGCCGACGAGTATGGCACCTCATGCTGCCGCCGCGGAGGAGGCATCGGAGGCTGCCCATGCGGCAGAGGAGGGGGATGATGGTTCATCGCGGTGCGAGTGCCTCTCTCCCTCTGTCTGGCTATATTTTTTTTCTTCCCTTCAGCTGTTCTTGGTGGAGGCTTGACTGGCTGTCAAAATACGCTCTGCTTGGGCGCCATGCATAGTAATTGAACGGATGGCCTTGTTCATGCGGGTAGGATGTGAAATTCTAGCAAGCCACGAGCAGTTTATCAGACGAGCAACGGTGGTGGTGGCCGTGATTCAAGGGACTGGAGAAGGAAGTGTGAAGTTAGTCAGGCATTTTCCCACGCTCCACAACTACTTCTTCCACAAAACTTACCAGGGAAAAAAAATAGGCTGAATGAAGAGATCTGTAGCAACAGCAGCGCAGACTAACACTCACAGACATCAAGCAGCTGGGAGTGGCAGGGCTGCTGCTGGGGGTTTTATGTAAAGTAAGTATATTATTTTTTTATATTTTTTTTTTTTTCGATGAAGTCGTTGCGTGTTCCCAAAAAGGGAATTTTACAGTCCCCGAACAAGGATATGGTCACGGGACCTGGCGCAAGTTTGAGCAAAGAAACGAAAAAAAAAAAACACCTTCAACTACTGCTTTTCGTTTCTTTTTCACTGGTTTCCAAGGGCGCAGAAGGTTGATGGAAGCTGCTGGCTCTTTACTGACAGCTTTCAGTCTGCTTGCGTGGGCTGTAGAGCTTCTGGGGGAGGCGTTTGTACCTTTACATAGTGAATTATATGTGAAGGTACTTCTGTGTTTGTCCTGTTTGCATCTTGGTTTTCGCCCCTCTTCAAGTCTTCCGCCTTCGTCCTTCTCTGACTTGATGATGTCGATGGCTTGATCTTCCGTATATACAGCTCAGTCCTCGACTCACGCAGTCCTGCTCCCATTTTATTGCCTGTGAGGGAGTCGGAGACGGCAGGCAGCGGGCTTGTGGAAGTATCGGGGCAAGCACTTTGGAATGACGAGCTCTCCTCTCTGGCAGATTTGTCGAGACGGAGCTTGGAGCCAACCAACGCTGGGAACGCGCAACAGACAATGTCGGCAGGCCCAGGGCAGTCCTCTGCGCCATCTAAATTGACCGGTACCTCCAGTCAGCCAGTGTCATATCCGCAGTCGCAGTCGCAGTCTTACTCGTTTGGACCAGACGCTGCGTCTCGTCGAGTCTCTGGGCCGCTCGTTGGAGGCCAGTCATCGAGCAACCTAGCTTCAGCAAGGAACAACCAGTCAAAAAAGGCGAATCACAAGCGTCAGCGTAAACCTCGTTTGATAGATGAGGATGCTATTGCTGAAGCTGTATGTCCTTTTTCTCTTCTTTTTCTTCCTCCCCTCTGTTCAATCATCTGAACTTCCGACTGACTCACATGCAGACAGCCATGAGGTCGACTTCTACCAGAAAGGGCCAGACCTCCATCACCCATCTGATGAACTTTTCTCTACCTCCGCGCCCTCATTCATCTCTGTTCCGGCCGCATCGTAACGTAACTTATCACTCTGGGTACCACCGTGTTGACAAGGCGAGGTACGGCAGGCCCGGTGCGTGATGTGGGAACGAAGAGAACTGGCTGACTGATTAACGGTTATGCAGATATGTTAATGCAAACTACCGGTTTATTGTGAATCCGACGAAAAGTTACCATGCACAAGCCACTAATGCGGACGTTCACCTGGATTGGGACACCGTGCTGCAAGTGTTGGTGTCGACGTCTTCGCAACCGACGAGCTGTCCCATCTGCCTGTGTGTCCCCGTAGCCCCTCGGATGGCCAAGTGTGGACATATTTTTTGTCTGCCCTGCGTCATCCGCTTTATCCAGACCGTCGATGATCCAAACTCTGCTCCCATTAAAAAGGCAAGATGGAAGAAGTGTCCAATATGCTGGGATCCGGTCTACATGTCCGAAACACGATGTGTACGGTGGTATTCTGGGCAGCAGATCGATACGCTTATGGAAGGTGGTGACGTCTTCCTCAGACTTGTCATGCGTCGGCCCGGCAGCACCCTGGCCCTTCCCAGAGATGGGGCTGACAGGCATGGGCATGCACCCGATGACGACCTGCCGTGGTATAACGCTGCAGAAGTAACCGACTATGCGCGGTTTATGAAAGGCGGAGAGGATTACATGATGTCACAATACGATGCTGAGCTCGAGGCGCTTGAAAAGCAAGAACAGGAGGATGAGCTCCTTTTCGGACAGGATTCGACATGGACCCAGAAGGCTATGACAGCCATCAGAGAGGCCAAAGAGAAGATAAAGGGCATTGGCAACCCACCTTCTTTCCATAGACACGTTGCGGATGGGCAGAAACATGAGCAAGATCCATCCACAGCTGTTGGACTGCATGCTTCAGAAGGCTTGGATACGCTTGCTCCTGGGAATTTGTCCACCGAACCACCGTCAAATTCGATACAAGATACTGCTCTCAGTACGAATACAAGTCTACCGGGTGAAGACGAAGCTATCTCGTCAACAATGTCCAAGCTTGAGATACAGCCCCAGCCGGCCATCAAGCAGGCTTTGTCGGAGGAAAAACCACTCCCTCCGTCTATAAATGAATCAGAGAGGGCTCACCCTCCCGATATACCATATTATTTCTACCAAGCTCTACCCCATTTCTATCTTTCGTCGCTCGACATACGAATTCTAAAGTCTGCATTCGGCGACTTTTCTCTCTTCCCCTCGACCATATTACCCAGAGTCGAACACATATCTACAGGCCATATTATGGATGACGATTTGCGCAAGCGTGTCAAGTATCTAAGCCATCTGCCCTACGGCTGCGAGCTCACCTTTCTAGAATGCGACTGGACCGACCTTGTCAGCCCCAGCGTTCTCGAAAAGTTCAGCGCAGACATCGAACGACGGAGAAAACGAAACCGCGAAAAGGCGACGCGCGAAGAAAAAGAGCGTATCCGTGCAGAAAGAGAGGAAGACGAGAAGCGACTGGCCCCTAGTCGACGGAAGAGACTGAGCCTTTCGTCCCCTAGTGAACGGCCCTTTAGTGCCAGTGACTTCCAGCCACTTGGCAGTCTAACGAACGAAGACCATGTAGACACAAGCGTTTCCACGGCTTCGCCTCCGTGGTCTTCCACCCAAAACCGCAACCATCAGTCCTTTGCGGCTTTAGCTACACCATCAAACAGTCCGCCTTCCCGCCGGACAGTGTGGGGTACAGCAATAGTTGAATCCAGTTCTCCCGCCGCAGGTTCGAGCCAGGGCGCCTTTCCGCCCAACCATGACGACGGCTGGCTTCAGGACTGGGAAGCAGAGCTCCTGGCTGAACAGCAGGAGTACATCATAAATGGCGCCAACAACAGTGGCAGCAGTGGAAAGAACAAGAACACGCCAGGTGCCACACCTGGTAAAAAGAAGAAGAATAAAAAGATCACATTGATGTCGACCAATGCACGACGAGCTGCATAGCCGGCTTTTGCAAAGTACTAACCCTTGCCGCAGGTACTCCGTCCATTCTTTCTATTTGGTGATTGGATTTCCAGCAGAGAAGCTTGGTGAGGATATATACGTCTTTCCGGGGGTACAGAGTCTTGTTTACTTCTCGCGGGTCGTTAGATTTGTCTATATAAACATCAGATAAAAACAAGAGGATGAAAAGAGTCCCTAATCTATAACATCTTGTTAACTCTTCAACGCATCTTCCCGTGTAAAACTCCTGTGGTACTACTGTGTATGTAAACCGTCAGAATATACATGCACTCTCCACTATAATAACCCTTTCGCCCGCCCGTCTCGCTAGTGCCCTGCAAGGCGCGCATCCTGGCTTCTTCACCTTCGCTTGCCAGGGATCTCCAGCCATAGTTAATTCAAAACAAAACATAACCTCTAGAGTAAACGGGAAAAAAAGGACAACTTTGCACGCCGAGTGGCCTGAAAGAAAAAAGGAAAAGATCTAGCAATTCGACTTCTCCCTGTTAATTTTGATACCCTCAGGGGGGAGAGTCCTTCTTTTCGATCTGATACTCGCTCTGGTCATTTTGCCCCCCTATTTTTCTTCCTAGCCCAGTTTTCCACGCCCACCATTCCTTTTTCCTTTTTGCTGGAGAGGAGGTTTTGGATAATAATAATAATAATAGTTATTCGTTTGCTTCACATTAGCCATGACCGTGACACGATCACAGACGGGCAAGACCCCTAAGTAAGTGCGCCCCCCCTAGCCTGCAGGACAATACGCCAGCCAGCCGTCCTTTGTCGCAAGAGATAAATAGCTGCGACTCCCAACTTCTTATTTCAATTGACTAGAGGAAAAGGAAACCGGCTGACAAAAGTCACTTTGGAATAGAAAGACGCAGCAGGACGTATATTTGGAGACCCCCTCGCGACGCATCACCAGGAGTCGATCGTCTGCCACCCCCGAAGTGAGCGCTGAGCTGGCTGAATCGCTGGAGAAGCCGAAGATGTCGAGCCCTCGCAAACGTGCATCCGCGAAGCAGGTGGAAGAGTCCACTCTCAAGCCCAGCGTGGAGGTAGAAGTGTCTGCTTCTGCAGCTGCCAATGGTGCCAATGGCGCGCATGAGAAGAGGGACGACGGAGCGCAGACCGAAGACCACAAAGTCACCGACCACATCGAATTTGGCGGAACTCCAGGGGTGACTGCGATGATGATAGGGTTCCCTTGTCTGATGTACTACATGTGGATTGGAGCGACCTACTACGACGGCGCGTTGCCGACTCCGTCTGAGGGACAGCCTACCACCGACTTCCTGCTACATCTCGTCAACTTGGTGTACACCGGCGCATTCCCTTCTCTGAAGGCGTGGACGATCTACTGGGGCTTCTTCATCTTCGAGGCTCTCGCATACATGTATCTGCCCGGCATCACCGTCAAGGGAAGGCCTTTGGAACATCTGGGAGGGAAGCAATTGACGTATTACTGCTCTGCCGTCTGGTCCTTCTACACCACCATCGTCCTGGCCGTTGTCCTTCACGTCACCGGAGTGTTCAAGCTGTATACCATCATGGATGAATTCGGGCCCATAATGAGCGTAGCCATCATCACCGGCTTTGTGATCTCTATCATCGCCTATTTCTCTGCCATTGCGCGTGGTGCTCAGCATCGCGTGACCGGTTACCCGATCTATGACTTCTTCATGGGTGCAGAGCTGAACCCGAGACTCTTTGGAATATTGGACTTTAAGATGTTTTTCGAGGTTCGATTGCCATGGTACATCCTTCTCCTTGTATCTATGGGTGCGGCGGCCAGACAATATGAGCTGTATGGATACGTCTCTGGAGAAGTGGGATTCATCCTCATGGCGCACTTCTTGTATGCCAACGCATGCTCAAAGGGAGAGGAATTGATCATTCCTACTTGGTACGAGAGCACATTGATAAGGACAACAATAGGCGGTAATACTATTCTAACAAACTGATATCTAGGGACATCTACTATGAAAAATGGGGTTTCATGCTTATCTTTTGGAACTTGGCTGGCGTTCCGCTCAGCTACTGCCATTGTACTGTCTTCCTGGCGAACCGTCACCCTTCCACTTACGCCTGGAACAAATATGCCCTCGCTTTCCTCTATATCGCCTACCTTTTTGTCTACTGGGTCTGGGATACCACCAACAGCCAGAAGAACAGATTCCGCCAACAGTCGCGTGGTCATGCCGTGATCAGAAAGACCTTCCCGCAACTTCCATGGCAAACTGTCAAGAACCCAAAGACAATCACCTCGAAGAAGGGAGATACTATCCTTGCTGATGGCTGGTGTAAGTATCACTCCGTTTCAATTCTACCTTGAGATGCATTTCTAACATTCATATTAGACGGATATGCCCGCAAAATTCACTACACGTGTGATCTCTATTTTGCCATCAACTGGGGATTGATTACCGGATTTACCAGCCCATTCCCTTGGTTCTACCCTGTCTTCTTCGCTGCTATGATCACTCACCGTGCAACCCGAGACATCCAACGATGCCGTGCTAAATATGGAGAGGCATGGACCGAATATGAGAAACAGGTTCCATACCTTTTCATCCCTGTAAGTTTACCATTTATGGATCTCGTCCTTACTGGCAGAGAGCTTGACTAAGTGATATTTCTAGTACGTGATCTAAGATCACTTGGTCAACCGCCTGAAGGTAACTTGTTACCCAACGTATAAAACCCCTTCTTTCTAATTTCCTGCCTCTTGCCTCCCCGCGTGGCCTTGGTTTCTCTTATATTCACATCTTTTTTCTTTACCAGCATTTTGATTTAATCGGAGGTACCTGTTTACCTTCGCTAGGGCCAGAGAAAGGAGTGAGAACGAAAGTAAAGATAGAAGGATGAATTACAATAGATATATAAAGAAGAAATGAATTATTTGTTTGTCAACACTCAGCCTTTCGTCTAGCCCTTGTCCTTCATTTATCATATTCAACTCGGCTTCCGGCCATATACAAATCTCACCTGGAAGTACAGGTGCGACTGGGGGTCAGCGAAATCGTTCCGCACCGCCGTAAAGAGCACATCAAGCTCTTGAGTAGTCCAGCCCAAAATGCGAGTGAATACAGCGAGTGAGCTCGATTCTAACCACTCTCGAACATTCATTGCTTGGTAGTGACCTATCTCTTTCATCTTCGGGTCTGGCGACCACCGTCCCACCGGCACCTGCCCATAGGTCAGCAACATACAGAAACAGCCTATATCCTTATTACATGTCACTCGCCTTGACAACTTCATCAACAACATCTACAAACCCCGCTCTCCGCATTTTCTCAGCCCAGGTATGCTCGACGTCCAAAGGCTTGCCAAATTCCTTGTTTCCCTTTACGAGCAACTTTTGCCATAGATTGGCCGTCACGGCCCTTTCGCGTGTTCCGTCATCCGAAAAGAAATTTGCTTCCGTACTCTGCATTTCGAGATACCCATCCGGAAGCAAACTGTTATATGCCTGGGCGAAGAAATGGTCATAGTCAGAAATGGAGCCTGCAAGATTGCGGGCGTGGATGTAGTTGAAGAGGTTTGATTCATTGTACTGCCATTCCTCTTCGAAGTCGTCAATTTCGAACGTGCAGTTACGTGGGATCCTGCATGGAAGGACGAGGGGTATTTAGCCAGGTTCTTCTCCTATCCTTTCGGCAGGTCTTCTCACCATAATCGTTGGATTGGGCTTAGATCAGTACCTAAGTTGCGTGAGTATTAGCAGAGTTTATCATAAACAACAATATGGGTCTGAATCATACCCAATACTTCACAGTAAGGGTATCGCCTTTATTTATGCAAGGTTAGAAAAAGTGCTGCTCGAAATCATTTCCCCTGAATAAAAGATGGCTATCTCACTCGGCAAATTCAAATGCCCAAGTACCAGTCCCAGTTCCCAGATCAAGTACTCGCTCTGGGTTTCCTTTCAATGGAGCTCGGTATAGTCTCCCATTGAGAAGAAGATAATATATCCGATGCTCCTTTATTAAGTTAGAAATGGTAATGCAAGGATATCAAATCATAGGCTTGGTCACTTCTACTTACTAGTTCCATACGATCCTGTTCTCTTTTATCATTTGGCTTTTCATGGGTATATAAGTAAGTTCATGAGTTTCTTCTTGGGAACAGATAATGTATATCTTTGGTAACTGACCAAGAGATATGCTCCGTCTCGATAGCCGTGGTATCGACGTTTGTTCTATCCCAGAGTAAGTAGTCATCCCTCTCAGAGGTCTCTCAGTTAAAATATCAAAGTCATATCTATGAACAGGGTATGCAAGAGGTTCAGCAGCCTACCTCATATCTATTTAACCAATATGTGAAGTTAGCAAGTTCTCAGAAATGTAGCGTAGGTAGTATTCACCTGTAGTTGTAAACGGAGGAGGAAACGGACGTTGTTCCACTGCATCCGATGAACACGATAGTATTAACATTTCCGTACCCTTACCTGAAGTCTCATATTCCTGGCTTTCTTTCTATTCGCAGGATACTCTTTGTTGGTTTCCTTACCGATGGGATGGTGTCCAAATATCAGGTTCATATTCCATGATGGTGTCCTCATTATCCTATACGAAGTTAAACGACCACGATAAAGAATAACTATTGGGAGGCAAGTTCTGCGCAAGAGCTTACACTATCAACCTCGATGATATCGTCCATATCCATAGTTTACTGATAAGTGGATTATCTCTAGGCCTTGGGATCTGTGGTGCAAACTTCCGGACGGTTATGGTTCCTAGACTCCATATGAACCAACTTTTCTCGAGATAGACATAATGTTCTGGGCAGTATACTTTCTATACACTTCGAGATATCGTAGATACGAGCAGATGTGCCCGCGGAGAGTTCAAAATGCCAGGAGTGGTTGGTGATCTATGATTTGTGAACAAAGACGGTTTATCGAATCCAGAGAGCAGGAAGCACAGGAAAGCGAAAGAAAGCAAAAAAAAGCCCTCCATGGAAATCCAGCCAGGGTAAAAAGCACGTTGGCAAGAGCCTTTTTTTTACCTTCACAGCCTGGGCTGTATGTTTGCTTTTTGGGCTGAATCCCGAACGAATCCAACAAGTCCTTTGCTCCTCCTCTTGCGTATTGACTAACAAGCTGGTTGGGCTGTGGCTGGTTCATTATCCTTGATCCCGACAGCTGTAGTTTAATATATTATAAGCATACTTCTTATGTGTTCTGTCTCTGTGGACATGCACAAGTGGCAAACATCCAGGCCTCTGCCCTTCTGTTGGACCGGTGAGGAAGAAAAGAAACAACCCCCCAAAGACAAGCCATGACAGGGCAAACAGGGGTGAAACAGATATAGACAGTATCATCCCCGTAACCCCTTTATATCCATATTGGCGCCATGGATCATCACTGGCGAACCAATAGAACCCGCCAGCCTGGTAGGTTAAAAAAGCGATGTATCCGAAGAACCAAAACGCTGGGTCATCCTTGCGTTAAGCTTGTGCAGAGACGAGCCAGGTTTCGTTGCGTTGTCCACTTCGTGGATGGCCGTGGCTGTTGCGGTGCGAGGGGGAAAGAGGTCGTGGCAGCCAAAGGTGTAACCAGGCAAGTAACTAACCAGTTAGCCAGCTTGTTATGATGTGCTTTGTGCATATGAGGTCGATTTCAAAAAGTGAACGAAGATTTCACTCTTGACTTCATCGGAAGCGCTCAGTCCTCCACTCTTGATGCATGATATCAGGGATACGATGCATCTCACAGTCGCTCTACGGAGTCCTCCGTCCCGAGTTACTATGTAGTTCGAATGTCCGATTTGACATGGACCTCCGTTTTCCTCCCGAATATCGGCGACCAGCCTTGGATGGACATAATAGGTGTAGGTTATGCCCATATGGATCTGGTGAACACGATCAACGAGTTAGCTGCCAGATACATAGAAGTGCTTTGGCATGACATCTACTGAAGTACTCAGTACAAGCTTGAGTTTAACCGTCAATGTCTTGGTCAAATGGATCCAACTTTGTAGCTGGACTTGTTTCCTCCTACTTCATATATGACATCTGAAATGACGTCAGAGCAGCTGGTGTAAATAATAGCCAGATAGTGAGGCAGAGGGGGATGAATTCGCTCTTATACACAGTCCAGTTGATGGTTGAGATCTGAAATAATCAATCACGATGGCGCTGTTCTTGCAAGGCTGCACGTTTGCTCAGCAATACGCTTCCTCGCTGCTTCATGGAAAATCCCAATCGTCCACCAGGTCTCTAAAGCTGGGTGTCTTGTCGACAGCGGGGATTAATTCAGCGGCTGGTAACTAACTAATACTTCCCGTCTGATCCTTTCTTTTTTTAAACAACAATAATAGGCCGTCAGCTAATGTCAATTACTACTAGTTATCCACCCAGCAGAAACTCACCCTGACGTGGATCTGTATGGAATTGCATCTCGAGATGCTGGAACAGCAAAGAAGGCAGCTGAGAGATATGGGTTTTCAAAGTCGTATGGTTCCTATCAGGAGCTGTTGGACGACCCCATTATCAGCATGGTCTATATCTCATTACCAAACAGCATGCACTTTGAATGGGCCCGGAAGGCGTTAGTTGCTGGTAAACATGTGCTGTGTGAAAAGCCATTTACATCAAACGCCAACGAGGCAAGGATGTTGATCCAGGAGGCAACTGAGAGAAAGTTGATTGTCGAAGAGGCTGTACGCTGTCCATCTACGTCCTGTTCTATATCAACGTTACTAACTATAGCCTCTAGTTCCATTGGCAGTTCCATCCTGCAGCCCATTTATTCAGAGATATCCTTCAATCGAATAAATATGGGAGAATTATCCGGACTGATGCCTGGATGACATCTAGCCCTGCCATACCTGCAGGAGATATAAGGTGGCAGTACGACCTAGGCGGTGAGCTTATACTACCAGTGCGAATAACTAGCCATCTTTACTAAGGGGGCCATCATAGGTGGTTCACTGATGGATGAATCCTATGCATTATCGTTCACTCGGTATGCGCTCCAGTCCAAACGTCCAAAGCAGGTTCTCTCTGCAGCAGCTCGGCCATCAAAGGCCGATGGCCGAGTTGACGCTGCAATGCATGCATTACTACTATTCGAAGACGATGCTGGCAACCCCATAACTAGCCGTATCTACACTGATCTGTCTCGCAGTAAGCTATGTGGCGTCATCCCCCGTGTCTGGGAACTACCATCAATCGAAGTTGAAACAGATGCAGCGATTATCTATTTCTACAATGCGATGATGCCGCATATTTATCACTATATATCAATCACCGATAAGCGGACCGGAATCACAGAGTACAAGACGCAGAGCTCGGGAGGGCCTATCTGGGGTGAAAGATGGACCACAGGCGGAAAAGGAGGGAAGAGTTACTGGAGCACGTATCGATGGCAGCTGGAGGCGTTTGTGGAGAAAGTCAGAGGTAAAGAACCAATCTGCTGGGTTCCGTGGGAGGATACTGTAATACAGATGGAATGCATTGATGAGATTTATAAAAAGGCTGGGATGCCCGTTAGGGGAGACCCGGCGGAAATTGAAAAGGATGAGAAAGTCAGGATGGCCGAGAAAATCGAGCAGGCGGAGAGAAACGAGAGAAGCGAGAAGACTTGAATTTGGTTATTCTGGTATTTATAAAAGCCATTACTAATATTCAAATTGTCTCAACATACTTGTTGTATATATTAACTACTAAGCTAAAATTGTACGATCAATTTGACACCCTCTCACCACTAACTCTACCCCATTCAGTAATACCTAGTCTCTATATTTAGGGTGATCCTAAGTCGCCCTACATCCAACTTCATCACGCCCAAACTTTCTCTCTTCTACAGAGCTATTGATATCATTTCTTTCATTTCCTATGCGCGCGGGGGAAGAATGGGCTATATCCTGTTCTATCGTGTATACCCCTGTGGCTTCGCCTTGCTCCAGGTGAGCAGCTCTGTGTGGGTTGGCAATAGTCGAACTAGATGACGGTGATGGGATATTAACACAAAGATCATTGCTATCCATATTTCGTTCCGGAATAACGGTACGGCCAATGCGGAATGCAACAGGTTCTGGTGGGATATCTCGCGGACGACCACTTTTCGTTGCAGGCTGCTTGCGAAATCTAGCTGGTATGAATCGTAATGCTCGTGATACAGGAGTAGAAGTGGCCACAGTTGTTGTACGGTGGGGGCCTGGGGTGCTGACCCCGGAGTGTGGGCCGCGCTCTGATTCTATATCAATGCTTGTGCTGAGAGCACTAGAGAGACTTCGCGGGATGCTGAAACCGAGTTTTCCAACAGGAATTGACAACCCATGAACAACCTGTAAAACTGTCAGCTTATATAACGAATTAAGATATTTACAATGGGGGGTTGGGGAACATACAATACTACAGATTGTCAAAAACCAAACGACGATATACATCGTATCGGTTAGCTTCTTTCCGTCTTCTCTTACTTCTCCATCTACCGTGAAGTTGAGCCTGACATATTCCAAGCTAACATAGAGATAGAAGATGGCACTGACACCAATTGGGCCAAAGAACCCGACGAAAGCAGCCTGGCGGAACTCTTCAATCTGGTGAATATATTTGTGCATGGCGAAGACGACGGGGATCCGACGGAGCAGGAGAATCAGAATTCCCAAACTAACTAGCCGGTAGATGGGGATGATATCGTTGTTCAAAAAGATGGGCCAGGGGCAGACTGCACCAAACCACATAAATACTGATAAGTTGAGAAGCATGTCAATAGTCGGCTGGAGAGAATCATCGAGAGTCTCGAGGCGGAACCAGTCACTATATCAGGTGTTAGATGTCAATTGATACCTATTCAAAAGGTAAAACGGGACTCACTCGATAGTGAAGACATTGCCCGCAATAAAGCAAGCAAGTACATCGTCGCTCCCAATCATCCCGCAGGTGCCGATAATGAACAACTAGCAGATTTATTAGCAATGTAAAGTATTCTCAGGGTAAAATAACACTTACGGCCAATGCAACAGCGAACACAAGAAAGCTTTCCCGATCAATATATTTATTCTCCTCTGCCCAATGCAGCAATTCTTTAGCCACCCAGCCCACAGCAACCCCATACACTACACTCAGGAGAATGGTGTACCCCCACGTCTCACCAAACCACAAACCCATAGCTTTGCGTGCACCCCCAGCCTCAGTATACTGAATAAGGTACATAGCAAAAAACAAGAACGGGTACCCCAGTCCGTCATTAGCACCAGATTCGGCTATGATAATCCTCTGTAGGGGGCGCGGGATATTCTTATCTGCGAATTTACCCTTGACAATCGAGTTAGATAATACTGGGTCGGTTGGGGTGATACATGCAGCGATAGCCAGGGCATGAAGAAATGGTAGTTTTGGCACGAGACCGTAGATAACGAGGCTACTACATAACCACATGCCCAGCATTCCTGGTCCAAGTAGTAGAGAGAGACTCTTCCATTCTTTAAGAAGATATCGGCTCGGTAGTTGGACACCTGCAAGAACAAGCTGCACACCTAGAACTAGGCGGCTAAAATAAAGCGTGATATCATCCAAGGCTTCTCTGTTTCCTAGGGCATAGTCTATAGGCCTTATAAGGTTGGCAGCATGGGGAGAGAAGGTAACGCCTGCTAGGAGCGAGATCACTGCGTGGATACTTTAGAAGGGATGCTTTTCATTGGGTTATACGGGGATTGTGTAGCTTACATGCTTCCGACAGATAGAACTGCTCCTTAAATAGGTACGATACTAAGCCAAAGAGAGTAATGAAACCACCCAGGGTAGCACATACAACGTTGAAATTGGTTACCGCGAGAGTAGGCATGCCAGGCTTCCCCGCTAGCAGATATTAGATACAGGAGAAGCCGTTTCCGCCACTGTAGATGTTCTGCCAAATCCTTTTCCTTTCTGGGCGGAGCGGAAAGCGGTGAGTACAGAGCGCAAGCAGATCAAGGATGAACTTTTCCTCAGACAACTTGCAAGAATTTACCGGCCCGTCTCCGGACGGAAGACCCTGAGATCTTCCTACTAGCCCTTCCGTCACCGGCAAAAAGGGACTCGGGCTCTATGGGAAAAAGAGACGAGGGGCAACAGCAGAAACGACTGGTATGTGGTTCAGGCTGCGAAAACGAATAGGGGTTTGTTAAGGCCGCAAGAAAGCGACGACAAGTGCGTTATGTTATTCAACTGGGCTCATTCCTATGGTCCAGACAACAATAGGATGTCTTCCTTCGCTCATTGGAGGTTGGTGAAGCACGAAACAATCAGTGATGACCAGGGGTTTCGATAAGGGTATGCAACGGAATCGTTGTTTGTAAGATCGGAGGATGAGCGAACAGGAGGGTTTAAAGGATTTAAATACTCACTCTCCTGGGAGAATCACAGCTAACTGTGCCGGTTGCCCCATTAAAAAGCGAACCTTGTGGGCGGTTGATATCTCCACCAATCTGCGATCTCCAGATGTACAGCCGGGATCCAGAGTTCTTGCAGGGAACGGAAAGACGAACTTTTAGCAACCAATTGGCGACATGCGGCATGACGCATTTCTTTTGATGTGCCATTTTCGCACCCGAACGGCTATGGTCAAAGGGCGTTGCTTATCCACATACGAAGTTCACATGGCCCAGGTGGACTGAGCACATCAATGCTTTTTCCTTGATATACTAGCTGAGGAAACTAAAATCATCTACAGCATCCGTGACAAGGTTTTTCTAGTTGAATATTTGGTCGAGGTTCATCCAAGTTCCTCCAAGCATGGAGTGCTCCATACTCTGAGATGCGAGACGGATGGACGTTTTTACGCCAAGACCTTTCAAGCCTTGCCAAGACCTTTCATTTTCGGAATTTATCACGTGAAGATAAGCTAAATGATAGCTGACTCATCATGGTCTTTTGGCGCTTTAGGGCGTTCAAAAAAAGTTACTTAGGCGAGATAGGCGACAGGGGACGACGACCGTGCGAAGGATGATGCTTAACGAGGCCTGAAGACGAGGTTAAAGGGTCAGATCGGGGCAATGCAAAATCTACACGACTTTTGGAGTATAGAGCACCTTTGTCACTATGGACATGATAACCGCGTCTCCGACGCTGGCACCAACGCCAACGCCTACTGCTCCCTATATCCGAAGCAGCACCTCTAGCACAACCTCTGCCTTTCCTGGATCGAGTGACTTCATAGTGTTTCCCAATGGCATATATCTTTCCAAATTCTACCTTGTTTCGTCCCAATACTCTGGCCTTACCGACCTTGATCTCCATCTCTACAATGTCTGCTATCTGCCCTACAACCCCTTTGATGTTGAGAAATCATTCGGCATCGACAAGAGAAGGGCTCCACCTACAGACTCATCAAATGCTCCGCGGCCGACATACTTGATCGAAAAGGCGCCATGCCAGCGGCAGGCATCGATAAATACAAACTGCTATTTCAAAAACACAAACGGCACGTTCTCGGGTCTCGAACCTTATTCAGACGAATTCGATGTACAGCAGCAATGTTATTGCGAGAGATACCCTTTTTTTGACTCCGTGCTGGGATGTATGAAGTGTTTTGAGACTCACGGCGGAATCGAGGGTACGCACATTTCCATCCAGCGTCATCATGTTTTTAGGTGTATTGTCAGCTAACCCTTCAAAGGCTACCACTGGTTCCCCCAAAGCTACGTAAATGCTGCGTCAAAAGCGTATTGTGGCGAAAATCCGGCACCAGCTGAATTCTACCAGTATATGCGACAGTGGGCGAGAACTGACCCCGCCGCAATTATCCCTAGTACAACTGCATCGACTATTTTGGGCACTCAGACAGACGCCAGTTTATACTATACATACTCTGCTGCTGCTACGAGTTCCGGCGGCGTTGCTCCAGGAAGGCCTTTAAGTTTAAGACGGTTACTTCTGGCTGTCCTCTCGGTGGGCATAACCCTTTACCGATGACCTAAGAGTACTTATGAGCCATCAAAACTGACCTAGGATTCCACACCCTGAGATCGTAGTATAGTAGGTCATACTGCGAACATAGTCATTTGCTATATCATGCATCTGTTTCAGGAACACCCCCGAGCTGTACATAATATATGTTGGGATATTATCGAAAGAAGTAAAATTGATAGAAAACATCCACTAGAATAGATGTAATGTATACACTGTCCAATTTATCCAGCCCTTCAAAAAGAACCCAGACGCCATAAAGTGCAAAAAGGTGTATCGTATGAGACAGCTTGAAGGCCACTGAACTGGCAAGGCCTTAAAATGCTTGAAAATAGATAGCGAAAATCTTAAGGATGGTCATGTCAGCTCCTCTTAACGACTAATCATTGTTCCGCCGCGATCGATTCTTGTTCTTGCTTCTGCTCTTTACCTCCTCAGTACTTTCAGATAACTCCTCAACCTTTACGTCATCCATATTTGCACCATTAACCGCCAGGCGATCCGCAGCTTCATTGCCGGCATCCTTGTTATGCCCCTTTACCCATTCGAATAATGTTTTCACTTTCAATGATTTGCGTTCTTCAATCTTAGCTAGAATAGATTGAACGAGGTCTTTGTTTTCGACCGGTTTCTGAGCCGAGGTTACCCAATTGTTTCGTTGCCAATTTATGTACCATACTGTCACACAATCGATCGAGTATTTGCTGTCTGTAAAAATAGTCACATCACGGTGTTTAGGCGCTATATCAAGAGCTCGAGAGATGGCTGTTAGTTCAGCCCGTTGGTTGGTTTGACGACTGCCTGCTAGGGGTTCCGAAACGTTTCTGCTAGATGAGAGAGAAGGGAAGAGAGTGAGTCAGTAATTGATATAAGAGAAAGAAGGCTTTATAGGCTCAGCGGTTATCACGTACCTTTCGTCATCAGGCCCGAAATACACGCCCACACCAGCTCTAGCTCGAGCGGTTCCATTCCGCAAAGCGCTCCCGTCAGTGTAAATCTTGAGCATGCCCGGTGGCCCAGACGGTTTCGGCTGCATCTTCGTTACCTTCTTTTGCTCTGGTGTTTTATACACTATCTTTCCAGTCGTTGGATCAAGTAGGATATTAGGGTCAAATCCGTCGTCCGCGCCCAGCGGCAATGGTCCTGTCCCAGCTGCATATTCGTCACCAATATCATCCTTCGAATTGCCCTCCATCATTCCTGGGGCCCCGGGCAACGAGTCCTTATCTAATGGCGCCTGGCCATTTCGTACAAATGCCTCGGCCTCCTCCCGAGTAGAGAACTTTCGATATCGAGGCCCACGAAACCCCCTTACTTGATCTTGCGCCTTTGCCCAGTCTGTGTATACACCCGGTACTCTACCCTTCTGAATGCCATAGAATTTCGTACATGTCGGAGTTGAGCCACCCTGGGGAGACGGGGCTCTGTTGCCAGTAAGGAAAGCATCTGCTTCCTCTCGAGAAGGAAAGGATTGGACTACGGCCGCGCGAATCGTTAGCACTGATATCTCAAAACAACCACGACAAAAAGAAAGAATAATAAGAGAGGGGGGAAATGCCACATACAGACTGCTCCTTTGAATCCTGTCACTTGAGCCAGACACTCGCTCCAATGATTGTATATTCCAGGCTGAAACCCGATCTTCACCGCATAGAATTTTGGTTCCCCATTGCGTTTCCGCTTGGTGCCAGCAACTACATTTTCGCTAACTGACGACATATCTAACTCCGCCTGACCGGTAGACAGTGTAAGTAATGCTTTTGTGAGTTCTGAGATGGCGCTGGTTGGTGTTGATAATCTCGGAGATGGTCTGGATGAGAGTCGGAGAGCAAGAGGAACGCGACAGATCGAGTTCATAGGGGTGCGATCGATCGATGAGGAGGTCTCCTTTGCGTTCTGTAGCTGGCTCTGGTCGAGCTTAGAGCACGTCTGGCTGATATCTCGTTATAGATGTGAAGTTCTCAAGGTACCCCGCTCCTTAGAGAGAAGAACGAGGCGCGTAGATGGTTCAACTGCTGTATAGGTGGGAAGTTCCATGGAATATGCCCCTTTCCAGAGTCAAAGATAGAGGGTTCCACCTCAAGAGCTCGAGCTAGGGTTCTTGTTGATGCTGTGTTGAGGCACCAGGCGGGAGTTGGAGTAAACAAGAAGCCCAGAGTTAGTGGTTGGCTTAGCCGGAGTTTTTGATGTTTTGAGCGGGAAAGACAGTCAAACCTGAGACTTCTAAAGACTCAGGATAACCAGGGTTGCTTCTATACTACATTGACAAGAATAACTGCAGAGAAAAGATGTTAATTAGTTCTTATATGAGATTTTGCTATAGATTGCATGCGAATATTTCATTGATAGTTACTATCCAAACAGGAATCATTTCAAGTAGTACGTCAAGTATGGATATTCCTATAGCCAACAATCTGAAAGCCCGGAGTAGATGAGCTATTGGAGTAACTCTCAAATACTAATGCCAATATAGAAATATATATATGAAATTTTGAGATATATTCCAAATGGGAAATGCGGTGTTGACCAGTTATATTTTGGCCTTGATACGGGGCCCCAGGATGTCGAGACCGGCACCGCCATCATAGAGCTGCTGTTCAACAGCTCGAGCGTTGATCTAATAGTTGTCAGTTAAGTATGTAAAACGTTTAATGGGTAATTAGTCCACGTACATGTTGCATGCCTAGATCTTCCACTTTATCAACTCCGAGCAGCCGCATTGCTGTCATTGTTTCGGCACAGAGGACTATTGAATAACAATATCAGTATATCCTATATTCAACAACTGTAAAAAAAAAATGAAACAGTAAAGGGTAACGCACTCTCAAACATTCGTTCAACGCCCTGAATTCCACCAGCGGCAAGACTGAACAATGCATTCCTACCAACACCGACCCCCTTAGCTCCTAGACACAATGCCTTTACCACATCTGTACCTCTCTTAATGCCACCATCGATCCAGACTTCAACCCGGTTAAAGACTTCAGGGCAGTATTTACGGATTTCCATCAACGTATGGACAGCGGGAGGAGCAGTATCCATTGCTCGCCCGCCGTGGTTGGAGAGAATGACGGCCTTAATCTGAGGGGAATGTAGTGATGCAATGTAGGCATCTTCATGCGTCTGAATGCCCTTGAGCACAATGGGAAGGTCTGTATGTTTCAGCAGCCAGGGTAGGGTATCCTTCCACGTCAAAGATGGGTCTGTGCCTGCAAATAACTGCTGTCCCAGGCCACCACCACCAGCAATTTCATGGCCTCCTGAAGACTTCACTATGTCTGCGATGGCAGGTGTGGCCGCTATGGCTTTTGTGCGCTCATCGAGCTCTCTTTTTCCGGGGACGGGAGCATCAAGCGTAAGGCAGATGAACTTGATCGCTTTGATCTTGTTAATGCGCGCTAGCATAGCCTCGCTCTTCTTCCGGTCAACCTGCACGTATAGTTGCCATCCAAACATCTGGTCGGAAGGGGCATCCTTAACTATCTCTTCTGGGGTCATGGAAGCGTTGTTGGAGATGATTTGCATAGCGCCGAACTTGGCACATGCGGCAGCAATCCCAGCCTCGCCTGAGGTATGAGCCAGCCGTGCCATTGCAGTGGGAGAAGCATAGATGGGGGTATCAAGCTTGTGCCCCAATATGGTGGTGGCCAGGCTGCAATTCTTGCAATCCACGAAGACTCTCGGGCGAAGTAATATAGATCTATAAACTCTATTATTCAATGACTTGGAGACCAGATCATCAGCGCCAGAGAAATAGTACGCCCAAGCCTTATGGGTTAGCTGCTTAGAAGCAACTTCTTCGAAGTCATCCATGTTCAAGAGAGTTGACACTGGGGGAGGTCCTTCAGTAAGCTTTTCTTCAGCTTTGGCCCGCTTTGGAGCAAGTTTGGCCAGTGACTTCGCATCAACAGTCCCTATCAAAGCCTTTGAGGGGAGGCTTTCCTCCAGAGTGCCGGTTGGATGGATTGGATCGTATTCTTCGGTTGCATCCTTCCCGGCTAGCTGAAGGATGATATTCGCGCCTCCCGGATGACTGGGTAAGAAATCTGTAACCTAAATAAAGCAGAAAACAAAGCACATCAACGTCATTAGAACTTGTTCTTTTTTCGATTCCACCAATATTCTGTCAGATGCCAGCTTCGGCATGGCGCCCCTGATTATCGAGCACATCTCATTCGTAAATTTGCTTCTCAACCAGGCCAACGCTTTGATCGCTCCGGAAGCACGCAGGCAAGAAGGAAATGAAAAACAAATGGTCTAGATGTACTCACATCGTACACCTTTCCATAAAGAACCACCCAGCAGCTATCCGTCCTGTTGTGCTTGGCGACTGTAGAAAAGAACGAAAAAGCAAATTGGTTAGTAGTTATAAAATATCGGCACTCCGCGTCTATATGAGCCAATGATAGAGACTGTGTTTTAAGGGTATCATGGGAAAAAGATTGTTACCTTCGTCTGCATCTATCACCCTCGAGGATGCCATGGTCCCACTGAATTTTGGATCGGCCGGACGACGTTGAGTATCAGCCTGCAAGGGATAACTTGGTGCAGGTGTCGATTCCTTTCTTTTTCACCTGCTTGCGTGTGCCCTGATGGACATATATATATATATATGGATATGGATACTCCGTATAAATGACGAATTGCACAGTAACCGGTAGATCCCAGACAAAGAGCGGAGGCGTATGGAGGGAAATGGTCTCTTCAAGAAAGAAAAAAGCCCTCGTCGGCCACCACCCCGGCATCAGTTTGGTTATTTCCAGCAAACCGGCAAATTAACCGTGTCTACGTATCCACTGCCCGTTGCTGCCTATGAAAAGAATGGTGATGACACTCTTCTTCCCCACAATGCCAATAATCTGGGGGCTTGTTCGAGCTGTGATAAGCTCCCTGTCCAGAGTTAAACGGCGGCAGCTCGGTAATGGCAACCAACTCCATATCTGCACCTTTCAGGCAACCGAGAGAATTCTTGATCTTTTTATTTACTTGTGCTAGATAACTATCTGTTAGCATTTAGCCAGTAATTTTATGGGATTAGTTATGGGCATGGATTGATATTAATGATAGAACCTCTGAATCTCTTCCTAAGCAAAACCATTTCTGCAAGGCAAGAAAGCAACTTTGGATTCCGAGTGTTCAACGTTTCCTCTCGAGCGACTCGGCCGAGGATTTCTAAAACTCGGGACTTCAGTACGGAGTAGAGGATGATGTACGTGGTAGAGATGTTATCAATGATAGTATGCGTGGCGAAGAGACCTGTGGGTTTTTCAAACGTGATGAGTAGCTATAACTTGTAGAGCTTCTACTGGACAAAACGAATGGCCAACGTCTCACCACTATGGATGTGAAGGAGTTACTATTTCACTCTATGGCCTTCTCATCACTGTCCAAGACTTTATATCACTTCTCTGGCCTGCTGAGAATCTCTATGAGGTTTACACCGAATATCAGCAGCTTAAGAGGATGGCGGTGGATTGGGTCTATCTATCCAAACTGCTTCAACTAAACACATGAGCCCGCTGGAGATACCGATGGCGCAGGCTAAATACATAGCTACCTGAGCTACGTGCCTCGTCTGCACACTCTTATCACCATATACCATGGCTGTGAACGCATATTGCACTTCGGAAAAGCCCGAAAACCCACTGGCGGAATGGAGATCAGACATCATAGTCCAGGCATCCGGTTAAGATCCCAAGGCCAGATATGGCCTGGTTACATTGCAGATACGTCTACGACGCTGTATTATGGCAGCTGCTTTTGCCCGCTGGACGTATATATGACACCTCTGCACAAAACAACTATGCAAAACTCGACAATGATCAAAAGGTAAAGGGTGCGGATGGGATCAGGAACGACAGAGCAGACAGAGGGCCGAAACTATCTTGTGTTCGACGCTGCTGAAATGAGGTTCCACGGGCAAAGTGTTTCTGGGTCGGGTGAGCGGGAAATTCGTGCTGGGTGCCACCTAGGTCCCTGTTAGGCACAAGACCTGACGAATTCGATGCCCTGGGAGTCCCTCTACTGGGTCAGGTTCTATGTACTGCTTATGCCCTACCTGTTGACGGGGCTACCGAATATGCAAACTTGGTCCACTGTGGAAGCGGTTGGCAGTCAGGCCACCAGACGGGGTAGTTTGGATCCCCCATGTTGACATCGAGCCAGGAATTTCCACTTCTTCTTCTTCCATCTCTTATCCTCTGTCTCTTCGGCGTCTTTCTCCCCTCTTTACTTCTGTTATTATTCTCTCCTCTTGACAACGAACAGCCTTGACATCTGATCTCGGTACAGCACCCCTCATATAAACACCACCGACCTTGCTCCACAGCTTCATGCACCTAAGCCAACTACCCTCTGGGCTACCATCTTCTCGTCCTCCTTTTTATATCGACTCCCCTGCCCATGTTCCTCCTTCTCTCTCTTCTCTTTGACTCTTCTTCAGACCCGGAGAAACCACGTGACGCTCCTGCTGATCGACACCCCAAAAAATCATCCGACCAGAAAAGAAAAGAAAACAAGAAAAGAAAAGAGAAGAGAGGAAGAGAAGAGAGAGAAGAAGGCAAAAAGACGGGCTCTGATGTGAATCTCAGGGTGAACAAATCTCATCTTCGTCAAATTTCTTCTTCGCCATAATATACGACTCTATAGTATACACCATGTTCGAGGTAAGCTATATTAACCACCCGCCCCGTATTTTCGTTGAGGGTTTCATGGATGTTCCCATCAGACAAAACCGGGGTCTATGGCGACCACAGGTGGTCGACGTGAAGAAGAACAAGGACAAGAGGAAGAGCTAACCTGTAATGACTGATTCCAGCGCCGTGCAGCAGATCGATACCACCTGCACCGCCATCGAGCGCGGTCCGTCGTCCTCACACCAGAGGAGATGGTCGAGGTGCGCGCCGCCCAACGGACGTTCGAAGGAGCATACATCCGCACCTCCATCTCGCAGTTCTCCTTTGCTCTGATCATATTGAAGATCTTCACAGCAGAGTTTTACAGCATCGGTGCGCTGTTTGCCGTCTACGGAGCGGGAGTGATGACTATCGGCCTATTCAGGAGACAGCAGGGGAACAAGCAGTTCTTCTCCGAGGTAGATGAAGACGGCGTGCAGAGACGGAAGTTCAGGACGAGCGGGAACGTCGTGGTTGTGCTTACGGCATTGAGCATTGCGGCGTATACATGTTTACTTGCCTTGACGTTGAATCTGGAGGTCTGACCAACTGACCTCTACAGACCTACACCTTACCTCCCTGCCTACTTACGGGACGACTGATCTACGGTGCTGCCTTACGTTATCGACTATTATTTTCGGGATTATACTCTACTCACCTTTTTTTTGTAAAGGGACTTCGTTCTCTTTTACTGGTCTGGGGTTGGACGGAATGGGCGTTGTGACGAATATTGGGGGAGGTTTACATGGTCCACAGAGGGAGAGAGAAATAGTCCCTGTCAGGTAGAGATGGGCGATGGCAGGCGTTTCTAGAGTGGAAGAGGTGATATCTTGTTCCCCAGCCAAGGACTCTCGGCTGGTCAGTCAGGCGGACTTGGATGTGCTACCCTCAGGCAGTAGTAGGGCGGAACTACTTGGCGATCAATGCGCTCCCAAGGCTGGATAGGGAGTAGAAGGGAGAGGCGCAACGTTGGGACGTCCAGCCTGCGACATACACCCAACAAGGCGCGATGACCTGCCTTGTTCTTCAGCCTCGAGGCCGAGACTCTATCCCGAGACTTGCCTTCAGCCTGGCGTTTTGGCCATATCACAGGTTGGAAACTAAACGCTCTCCGTCTATCGGATATAAACACGTCCTACCCGTGGCCAGCTTGAGACTCTCTGCTAACGTGGTTCAACTCTTGTGGCGTTCTGCTCGAGCCAGGATTCTAGGTATTTTTTTATTATCATAACAACATAACAACATCCTTACACTGTTACATCTAAAAACCCTCGTACTTTTGAAGAACGCCACTGGGCATCCTTCTCTCTCCTACGCCTTGTCGATCGAACTATTATTATAAAGGCAGCGTATAGAGAAAAAGTCATCGCTGTTTCGTAAAAAGTATATCCTTGCATTTCTCCATCTTGGGACTTCATCCATCTCGATATTTCCCACTCAAAAAATAACGACCAACCTCAAGGCTTCAGCTTCAGCTTCAACAAACATCCAACAGCCCATCCTTCTCTGCATCTTCTTCTCCTGTCCGGTGAGGTCATCGGTGGACCTTGACTGCTGCTAGAGCTGCAGGTCTCAGCCAGTGACATTCTCAATCCGCCGCCAGCGCCGTCGAGCTAAAGATTAGTAAAAAAAAAAAACCAACGAGAAAAAAATAGATACAGGAGAGAACAAGAGAATAAGAGAGAGGGAAAGAAGAAGAAGAAAGGCCGGCAAGGCAGCTTTCAGCTTCTCATGGCCGCTGGACAACAGACGCCATGCCAGCATCAGCACTCGCATCTCGCCAGGGCCGTCGTCGTGAGAAACTCCAGCTTCAGCCCATCGTCAACTTCTTCGCCAGTTTCACCATCCTCGCCGTTGGCTTCTCATAGTTCGAACAAGCCTAGGAACGGATTCCCCGCTAATCGCTCTGCTTCTTCCTCCTGCGTCCCGGCTTCACTATCGCCTCTCGCGTCTGAACGTGACGGTGCTTCTTCCTCCAGCATGGCGGAAATCCATCAGCCTCCTTCCGCCAGCTCCTCCGGCGCTCCAAGTCCTATTGCTCCAGCCCATCACTATGGGTCGACTCTGGCGCCGCCCGCCAAAACCGTGATAGGCAGAGCTCTGGGGATAGATCGACTCCCAGAGCCTCAGCAGCGTCGTACCAGCGGCGAAAGCTATACTTCCGGCGGTTTAGCTGCTCCGGGCTTTGGCATGTCCATGGCGGATTCTCCACTCCCCAGTGCTCCAGCATCACCGCAGATGTAAGTTACCAAGATCCCCTGTCTTCTTTCTACATCTTTATATAGTTCTAAACCCCCGTTGAAAGTAGTACACCTCGGTCTCATGGTTCCGGAGCTTCAACCCCAGGCAAACACCGCGCCACAACTCTCGATATTCCCGGTCTCACCAAGTCCAAGGTCTCTCCGGATGGACGCATTGCACAGCGTGATATTGGGTCGAAACTTGTCATTGTCATGGTCGGCCTTCCCGCCAGAGGGAAGAGCTATATGACCAAGAAACTGTGCCGCTACCTGAACTGGCTGCAGCATGATACAAAGATATTCAACGTGGGAGAACGCCGTCGAGTGGTGGCCAGCTCCACTCCTCAAGCTGAGCTGAAAACAATTGACCCCATGGCCAATGGAACTTTGCGCAAAGGTGTACGAGAACTCAGCGTCGGCGAGCTTCCTCCCGAAGAACAGGCGGAGCTCGATGCGGCAGAGAAGAATGTCAGCGCAATACCACCACTTGATATGCCACCTAGTTCGATTCCGCCAGCTACTATTCTTGTCAATGACAAGCCCCAGGACGAACCAACAGAGCAGCCAGAGCCAAGTCCAGTGACAGACGGCCAACCATCCACAGCCGCTAAACCTGAGGAAGGAATGGATCAGTCCGCCCAATTCTTTGACCCGGACAATCAACGCGCCGTCCAGCTGAGAGAGCAGGTCGCTCTAGCTACCCTTGACGAACTGCTGGATTATATTCTCGAGCAAGGTGGCAGTGCTGGCATTCTTGATGCAACAAACAGCACACTGGAACGCCGTAAATCCGTAATGGCACACATTCGTGAACGAGCGGGACCGGAACTAAATGTCCTCTTTCTGGAGAGCTGTTGTTACGATGCCATGTTACTAGAATCGAACATGCGCCTTAAGCTCTCAGGCCCAGACTACAAAGATATGGAACCAGTCGTTGCTCTGGAAGACTTCAAAAAGCGCATTAAACTCTACGAACGCAGCTACGTACCTCTAGGAGAGTATGAAGAACAGCATAACATGCCGTATGTCCAGACAATTGATGTGTGCCGCAAAGTCGTCGCTCATCAAGCTACCGGCTTCATGGCTTCCCAGGTAGTTTCCTACCTACTTAACTTCAACCTATCCCCACGCCAAATTTGGATATCCCGTCACGGCGAAAGCCTAGACGACGTCAGCGGGAGAATAGGCGGAAATGCACCGCTCAGCGAAAACGGGACTCGTTATGCTAAGGCCCTTGCTAAGTTCATTGATCACCAGCGCGCCCGCTGGGAAGAATATCAAAAGATAAAAGCCCTGTCAACCCATTTCCCGCCACGGCCAGGTGACAGCACGCCACCAAACCCGCAGTATGCAGCTCAGATCATGGACGGAGGACGAAATTTCTGCGTCTGGACCTCAATGCTTACTCGCTGTAGCCAGACAGCGCAATTCTTCGATGAAGAGGAATACGACGTCAAGGAGATGAGGATGCTTAACGAGCTAAATGCAGGCTTAATGGAAGGACTGACATACGATGAGATTCGTGAACGATTCCCCACCGATTTTGAAACTAGGAGGAAGGAGAAGCTGCATTATCGATTCCCCGGCCCTGGAGGAGAAGGGTACCTGGACGTCGTCAACCGGCTACGTGCTGTTATCGTCGAGGTTGAACGAATGACGGACCACGTACTTCTTATCGGACCTAGATCTGTTGCCAGGACTCTGCTAGGATATTTCCTCGGCTTGAGGAGGGAGGATCTCACCGATCTTGCAGTGCCATTGGGCATAATTTATTCTCTCGAACCGGTAAGTCACCTTTAATGATCTACCATACAAACAATCTTCCCTGCTAACTGCCTACATAGAAACCTTACGGCGTGGAATACAAGGTCTACCAATATGACCCGCAAGCATGCTGGTTTGATGAACTTCCCAATTACAAAGTTGGGCAAAAGTCTTACTACTAACTACCTTCCTAACTAACTACTTATTTACCCGGGCCGCACACACACTTGGATAAGCCCGCAATTACGTTGATTCTCCCCACTTAGCTACGGACGACTATAATTCTCTCCATGAATTCTTCTACTCCCCTCTTTATCCTATCTAGTCTTGGCACCGTTGTTTCCTCTCTCTTATCATTGCTTATTTTTCGGGTTCGAATGCGGACTATGTCATGTTTGCGGTGTATGGGGTTCTCTTTTTCTTATCTCCTTTTTCTACGGACGGAGCACGGCGCATAAATCTCTCGGTTTGAGTGAGTTATTTTATGGCAGTATAGGCTCGATCTGTTATTCTCCCTTTTTTCATATCTTGTTTAAAATTATCATATTTCGTTTCCTGGTGGTTTATCAGTTGTTTGTTTTATTATGGTTATCTTTCCTCCCCTGTGGCTATGTTACTATGTGATGTCTAATGACCGAATCATATCCCCTCTCTTAAGTACATATCAACCGATTGTTATTTAACCTATTAATTAAGGTGCCAAATGCTGGATGGACATATAGATACTAATTTGGGAGTAGATTTAACTAAATATAGACAGTTCATAGTTCATGTACAGGCAAATTTTACACATATCAACACTATAGTCAGCCCGAAATAAGGATAAAATATGCTAATTGAACGGAGGGAACGATCAAAAACAAAAACAAATCAGACACATAACAAACTCGTAGAGAGGAAGATAAATAGTATTTGACACATAACCGATTTTACTTTGCTCAACTCGTACGCACCATACAAAATCAACCGACAAAACAAAACATACACCGAAAAAGGTTAATCAAGAGACTGGTAGATTGCTCACGTTATATGCAGGTTATATGTTTGGCTGGGCCTGGAACTGGGGCCTTGCTGTCATAAATGGCAGTGGAATGGCAGCCGCCTCGGTAGTGTTGCTGGCTAGCGATTGGCCGTTGGTAGATGGTCCTGCTACCCAGACTATGGAGGCATACTATTCAAGCAAAGGGTTAGCGGGTAGTTACACAGGCTGCTATAGCAAGACGTGTCGGAATATAAACAGAGAACGAAAGTGATGTGTATAGTGGTGTGTTACACAACGGCCCGTCGACCAGAGGCCATCAGACATATATAGGCTGGAGGCGAGAAGCTTACCTTGAACCAGAAATTCAACACCAAAGCAACTGCAATACCCAGGCAGACGACGAGAGGACCGATGACATTATCAAAGTCCTTTCCGCTGCGCTCTCGGATCAGTCGTGCGCGAGACTCAAACATCCACCAGCCCCAGGCTCCTGCAAAGACGGAGAAGCCAGTGTACACGAAGGCTAGGTAGCGAGTGACGATCATATTGGGCCCTGAGGCATTGTACATACCCAGTGAGATGCCAGCGAGGAGGATACATATGTGCTGCCACTTGACAAAGGTACGTTGGTTAGCAAGCCATACCTTGGCTTCAACACGGACTGGACCGGTGTCCTTGAGCCAGTAGCTCGGCATAGAGACACCGGGTGGCAACTGGGGCTGGGGGGAGCGATGGGCGAGGGCATAGCGAGACATGGAGAAAGGGATGCGGAGGAGTGACGAGGTTGGCCGGGATACTGGTTGAGCCTGCACTCCGCTGGCCGGTTCTGTGGAAGGTGGTAGGCTAAGCTCAGGAACGGAAGGCCGAGGAGTTAGCTGGCTCTGGCCCTCGGTGCGTGGAGAGGTAGGTTGGTCGACGCCCTGGATACGGATTTGGGTCTTGGGAGTCGACTCGTCCGTCATCATACGGCTGATGGGGGAGCCGACAAGGTGCTGGATGCTAGGAATAGTCTGGCGGCTACCCAAGAAGCTGCCTACAGCGAGCTCATCCTCAGCCTGCTTGGCAATCCGTTTCTGTTCTTGCTGGAAGGCGGTTTCCGGGTCTCGTCTGATGTCTGTGTCTAGGTCGCTGAGCCAGAAGGGGAAGCTGTTAATATTATCCTCAAACAGCTGAGCGACACCATGCACGAACTTGGAGAAGCGTGGTGCTTCCTTTACGAGGTGAGAGGACATAAGGTCGGAGAGCCAGGCATGGGTATGGCTTCCAGGACGTTTACCATTGGAGCTGCGGATCTTGATCTCCAACAGAGCATGGGGGAAGCGCGAGATTTCGCCGCGGGGAATCTCCGAGAACGGGAATTCCATTCTCCTGTTGTCGATGTCTGCACGATGCCAGTCCTCGGGATCACGACAAGGGCGTTCGAAATCAAGGGTGTCTTCACGGATAAGAGCCAGGTCGGTATCAAGAGAGATTCGGAGGCGGTCATCACCGGGAATCTGGAACGCGGTGCGGGTATAATTTGCTCGAACCATGGGCTCCAACCCGTAACTCTTGATGAACTCCTGGATCTCCTCGACGTCCCGCTTAAGGTGGTCGGCACGCTGAGGATCGCCGTTGCCCTGGACTTCGATCTTGTGAATGATTTTCTCCATTTTGTATGATCCATTGAGGAAAGCGTTGACGTGCTTCTTCTTCATGCGGACTCGGACCTCACGGCTGCTGTCACCGTCGTTCATCGTCTTCTTCTCCAGGAAGACCTCAACCTGATCACTTAGATGGCCTGACCAACGCAGACGAAGTGATCCCGCGGCGGGCTGGTTGGCAACCTTTTGGTTATACAGGTCGAACGAACGGCTGTCAAAATAGAGGGAGGTGAGCGCAGGATCCCGCTGGGCGACGTCGAGCTCCTTTGAGGTATTCGGGTTATAGACAAGCACGGGCAGGCGGCGTAGGATGTACGTCTTGACCTCTAGCAGATTGTCGGCGTGCACCCAGAACTTGTGGGAGGTGTATGCCTCGCGGCCGGTCTGGGTATCAGCCGCAGGCCCATCCTTGGGGGCCGGCTGTCCATCAGTGCCGAGGACGGACCTCACGAATGAGAACATGGCCGACAGCCGGTACAGCAGCGGCGAGTAGTCCTCTGAATTGAACGGGAGCTGAGCCATGCGGACCTGCAGCAGCGGACGGACCTTGTACTTGGCTCCGCGTCTGCGATCATGCTTCTTAGCCGCCTTGAGGAAGCCGGTGAAGTTGATACGGCTGAACTTCTCGAGCTCGCCCAGCTCCTCGGTGATGCGATCGAGCTTGGTGAGGGTTTCCTGTGCGATCGCCTCGTTCTTCTTCACGTCCTCCAGCTTCGTCTCGCCCTGGTGAGCGGCCACCGGCTCCAATGCGGCCTCGCACTCGCTCGTCCGCTCCCGCAGCCGCTTGTGAGTCTCGACCTGGAACGAGTTGACCTTGTCGAGCTGGACATTGACGAGCTCCTGGACGAAGTTTTCTTCATCCTCGTCCGTCCACGGCCTGGCCTCGCCGTCTTCGCCGTCCTCGGATCCCTCATGCTCGCGCAGCAGCTTCTTGAGAGCTCGATAGTCGATGTAGTGGTCCTTCCATGGCGGATAGACAGACGTCTGCAGCGTCTTGCCGAAGCGCATCTTGACCAAGCTGCTTCTCTCTCTCTCTCTGTCTGTCTGTCACTCTCTAGAGCCCACAACAGAGTCCAATTGACCCTTTATATCGTGTACAAATCTCTGTCCGAGACTCTTAAGAATATATAAAAATTCATCGTAAGGAAGAAAAAGCCGGAAAATGTTCGCCTTTTTCCACTTTCGGACATGATCCCGATCTAGACTAGCGCCCCACGTGCGATGACGACACATGATTTGTCACGTGCTTATTACATAAGCGTCACATGATGTAGACTTGGCGTTGAAGTAAACAAAAGAAGAGAAGAAGAAAAGATGATAAGTAGAAGAAGAGAGGAAGAGGATAAAAGAGAGGAAGAGAAGAGAAGATGGCGGTTCAGAAGCTGTACCCGAGGGCGACCGTCAAGCGCATTGTCAAGGCACACACGCGCAAGGCCCTGAGCAGAAATGCAGATATACTGGTCAGTATAGATCCGGATGATGGGTGAAGAAGCCGAAACTGACGAGAAGTAGATATTCTTGGATTATATGCTGTTCATGCAAGAGTCCGTCTCATCTAGTTCCCTCTGTCGGTCCTATCGTACTCACTGTCACAGGTTGATGCGTGAGGCGTCCATTCAGTGTAGAAAACGGGGCGACAAGGGCGTCTCGGCCAGAGCAATCAGACAAGTTACTGAGGTGAGCAGCCCCCGAAGGTCCATGATTGTCTCCGGAAGGACGGTCTCTCACGCGGATTACACCTCTAGGGCACATTGCGCAAGTTCAAGGGATAGTCAAGCTACTCGGGCAGAAGTCGGATGGTGTTTTCTCACTACAATGGTGTTTGCTATGGGTTTTGACGGCGTTAGGAAGGATATATATTGACTGTCATCCGTCTGGGAAGGTCTGGGATAGCCAGGATACCCTGGAGTCTGGAGTATGTGGATGAATATTCAATACGATCGTGTTTACATTGGCTTCCTGCATGCGCTGGTGTAGCTGCATTCTATCCAGTTCCATCTCCTTCTACCCATATATTGTAGACATCGAATAAGAGGCGTAGACTTTTTTCAGCATTAACGATATTAACTGAGACAACATTCATACCAGCATATCTTTGCTTATATCTTACATTAAGTGTCAGCTTGCGGTTGCTGGCAGGAAAAGATTTTGTGACTTCGCTCAATCCGGTGTGGAAGCAGAAGAAAGAGAGAGAAAAAAACCTTTCAACACCGACAACAACAAATTCAACTTCATCAACTTCCTCCAACTTCCTCTCATCCTAACTACGTCTGCACTCACTCGATATCTTTTCTCTCTCCGTCTATATCTTCATCTACTCTCCTACCGCTCATCCATCTTATCCCGCTCGAGCAAGTCTGCCAGTCACACGACCATCACTCCCGAGTCCTGATCTAACAGCCATGTCCGCCGGAACAGCTCCAAGCGTCTCTCCACAGAATGCGAAGAAGAGACGTGGCAAGGGAGAGGCCGCTGCCGTAGCTGCTCCCGTGTCTGTTGCTGCCTCCAACACTGACGCGCCCAGTGTCTCCGGTGAAGGAGCTGCGGCCAACGGACAGCACGAACCCAGCTTTCTCAAGGAGCTCCAGAAGTACGCCCCCTATTATCCCTCTAAGCGACAAGAAAAGAGGAGATGCTTGATACTGACATTATTAAACTAGAAATCTTCGAAACACCACCAAGAAGCTGGTAAGCTCTGTGCCAGTTTGCTTTTGGCCTGACAGCTAGACTAATTGTGCCCTCTCTAGAACGCAACCGCCAAAGTCGACGCCATCATTGCTGAAAACCCTGGCAAGACCCTCGAAGAGCTCGTAGCTCTCAAGAAGATCAATGCGGACCAGAAAGCCCAGGCGCTCAAGAAACCTGCTCTCCAGGAGTCCATTGCTCACATCGAAGAGCAGATTGCTCAATACAAACAACTCGAAGCATACTATGAAGAGCAACATGCCAAAGAAAAGGCAAAGCTCGAGGCTCAGCATAAAGAAGAACTCGAATCACTTAAGAAGAACCTTGTCACTGAGTCGGAACAGAACGATGAGAAACGATTCAAGGAACGGTTGCTGGTGCTCAGCCGTTTCCTCCGTGCAGCTGCTAATAAGAGGGGTGTTGCTGATGAACATTCCGTCGAGGCTCGTGGGTTTGAGGGCTCCTTGTACCAGGTCTACGGTGGAACAGAGCAGGCAGTCGAGGCTATGATCAAGTTGATCGACGGTACAGACGACAAAGTCCCCAGCGTTGAGTCCGAGATTCTCGACATCACATGTACGTTTTCCTCTCTCCTTCCCTTTCACTCACGCCTTGTCTTCATCAACTGACAGCTTTTTTGTAGACGCACAAATCAAACGCATCTCTCTGGAAGATTCCTCTCAATCCACTGGTGAAGCTGTCTGGACGGAGGAACAAGCCGCTGCTGCTTCTACTAACGTACTCCAAACCGATCCAACAGTCGCCAATGCCGGCCTGACTGAAGTACAAGACCCATCTATCTCGCAAGTCGCAGCTACAAACGGCTCACAGTCTACTGCTGCACTACTTGCCGAAGAACCAGCCCCTGTCCAAGCAACTACAGAGAACGTTGCGGCTAATGAACTTGCGCAATCTGTGTCAACAGCTGGATGGGACCCGAACCCCATGTCCACTTCTACCGTCACGGAGGAATGGGTTAGCGTCCAAGTTCCTGGAACTGGCACAGCGGCTGAAGCTTCTGTCGCTGCTGAAGCTGCTTCTCGCCCACCGCTCCAGCCTACCGATAACTGGAAGGAAGAAGTTCCTGCTTCAGCTACTACCTTGCCTAATCCCGCCAAACAAGTTGACGGTTTCGAACGAGTCCACCATCCTCGTGGACGCGGTAGAGGACACCGCGGTCGTGGCCAAGGCCAGCGCGGCGGCGGAGAGCACCGTGGACGCGGCGGCTTTAACCGTGGCGGAGGCGAGTTCCGCGGCCGCGGACGTGGCCGTGGTGGTGAACACCGAGGAAGCGGAAATGGCAACGGGCATCGTGGACGGCCTGCCCAAGCTCCTGCTGCCGCTGGTGATGCCTAGAGCCTGATCGTGAGCCCGCCATGCTGTCGTTATATTACAGCTCTCGGCACCTCTTCCTCTCACTGCTTTCTGTTTATGCTTGGTTCATTCATTGCAGTGCGGGCCTAAATTCGCTCTTCACCCTTTTCATCTACTATCCCGCTACCTCCTTTTTGTTCCTCATTTGACCGCTTTCTTTCCATGAGTTGCTATGCTATGCCATGACGAACAGGTACATACAAAAATTTGGAGACGAACCGGAGTTACCCACTACTAACTATAAAAAAAACTTACGACTTAATTCCTTCTAAATACTAGCGTGCATACGGGCTCCTTTTGTAGCCCCTGTTTCCCAGCTTTTTCCTTCTGGCCTATTTCCTATTTATTTCACATCCATCCATTGACTGGTTGGTCTCTTCTTTCTCGATATCCTCCATTCTCATTCTAGTCGGACACCACTATTTTGTATTTTATGCTTGCTGGCTTTCTTAAGGGAGTGGGAAAGGGGAATGGATGGGATAAGGATAGGGGTATGGATCAGGTGTGTGCTTTGGTTCAAAACTGCTTTGATGTGAAGCTATGTATAGCAGTCATCTTTATACCAGCAAAGCAAAAGCAATGATTTGAAGATATTTGCCGTGTTTTATCTACTGAATGGGATATATCCTCCCACTATTCCCTGACAGCTATTTTTTTAATATGTACCCTTGACCGAGTTAGTTGACATGTGTAATGATAGGAGAGGCAAAGAGCTATTCTCGATCAATACGAATAACATCACTGGCCATACGATATCTCTAACCACCTAAGTGACGGTGTTATTACCCTAGAGAGGGTATTTAGTATGAGCGATGGGTTTTGATATTGAACGCGACGGAGGCAGCCCATGACAATGGTAAATCCTACTACAAATGACCAGGCCAATCAACCATAAGGGCATCCCGGGGATATAAAGCCAGGAAAGGCTAGGGTTGGAAGTTTCAGGGGATGAGGAGAGATGGTTCTTTCATGGGATTAAGAAACTCGACTTGATGAGAGAGGCTGGCCATGGCCTTATTATGAAAGGGAAAAGGAGTCCAATAGGCTATATGCGACTTTCGTTAAAACTCCATGTCACCACGCATATTCCATGTTCTATGATCCACCAGACAACAGTCAAGACCATTTTATTGCTCAACGAATATATCTTGGTGGCATTTCACTTTGCTGATATTTAGTGCCGCTATGTCCTTTCTGCTTCGCTGTTCTGATCCAATTCTTGACCGAACCGGCTGTAGCTGTAGCACCGGTATTGGCTTGGATCCGTGCTGGAACATGGGGTATAATAAAGAGCAATAGGGGCTGGGATGGATTACTATACAACACAAAGTCAATGATGAGCTATGCATCTACCGGACGGTCCTGGTAGGGCCATATTTTGTTTAACCACTCTCTCTGCTCATCATCCTCCGCGAGGGACAAAAGGTTTTCTTTCTGTAAGAAACTTGACTCTCGTAAAATATCATAATCGTCCGGATCAACAACACCATCAGCAGGCAAGATACCCGCATTTTGATATTCTTCCATAAGCTGATCGAGATAGTCACGGTTCTCCATTTCTTCATTGTGCGATTTTTTATCTTCATCGGTAAAGGAGATAGGACATGTGCTTTCAGGAAATAGCTCATACCAGTGATCTACCAAGCTCATCAATGATGAGCGGAGAGTGAAAACTTCTCTCTTTGACCAAGCTTCAGTGACTGATTTGATCGGTTGAATGTAGGGCGATTTCCAGGTATCATTATGACAAAGAGCAACATGGTGCTGTGGATTATGCTTGAGAGAGAAAACCTCATAAACTTTATGGCACAAAGCGCTCTCGTATAGTATATCAGCGCGGAGTTTTTCTGTCTTGGATAAAGTCTCATAACCGTCAGGCTTCCGTGGCATGATCACCCCAAGTGGAACTGGGCTCACATGTCGGACCATTCGAGGTATCCTGGCTTGTAATACAAAAGGAGCAACCTTTGTGCCTTGCCAATCAATGATGCTAGTAATTTCTTCAGAATTTGAATCAATGTAGATATTGTTAAGATGGAGATCATGGTGCCATAATATGGACTGTAAGAGTTTGCCAATATCGGGTTTATTCTGTGTGATAAAAGGGGCAACCGCCAGATATTTGTCAATAAGATCGATATATCCATGTGGGGACTCTTTGTTTGTGTTGCTTCGAAAGTAATTTATCCGTGGCCGCGCATATCGTGAAGCCCATTCTCTCTCATTTGTACCAATGCTCATTGCATAATCAGATAGACGACGCCCTGTGATCAATTAATTAGGACATGACCATGAAGTGAGAGGGCCCGCTATCTTACAGGGACCCCGAGACAGCTCTAAGTTGGAGCGTTCTCCAGACCAAAGCTCCGGGTCTACGACCGGCCCGATGCAAAATTTGTTCATCGAATCTCCTTGGAGAGTTGTCTGATGCTTGTGCTGATGCTTTAACGGCAGATCTTTCTTATAGTATATGCATCCGTATTCGGGAAAGGTAACTGACAATAACTTCGATTCTATTTGCACGACCTGCTTTATATATTCGAACTTCTTGGGCCGAGGGAGTTGGTACCATATTTCGCTAAGAGCATTTCCCTTTGCCTTTTCCATGATGATGTATTCACTTTCCACAGGATTCGAAGAGTCGCAGTTCCAGGTTAACACCCGCGGGGCAGGTAAACCTATAATCTCCCGAGACTATCAACATCAGCCCCAACCCCAAAGATCTGTAGCTCAAATGATACCTACGTAATCCATAGTTGCAACTTCACTTGCGATTGTAAACAACTTTGGCCCTGCATTAGGATTTGGTATCTTTGCAACTGCTTCGTAGCCGTTGTCAAATGTAAGAAGAAAAGTTTTATTATATTGGCCTTCTCGGTATTTCATGACACGGGTGCCTATAACCGGCGTCAGTTAGTTGATGGGATCATTAAATATGGTAAAATTACAGGTCTTTGCGTTGGAACACGGCAAGGCAACTCGGATAAGCTCCTGCAGGTTAAATTGTCGATACCTCCGCGCGACTTCTTCGGCATCATTTGATCTGCGTTTTGGTCAAATGAAAAGTCAAAAGATTAAGATATAATCAACAATCTGGACATACAACCATCGCTTCGTGGTATATCGATAAAAGTCCTCTTCCTTGGCCGCAATTACTTTATACACTCAGCTCTATCTTCATGGTAGGGCCAGACATTGAAATACTCACCAGCTCCATCATTTTTCAGTAAGCATAGAAAAAGTGAAGATATATCTTGAGAGCATGTGGTTACTCGATGAGATTGTCTGCCAATTTGATGAATGGGTATATTGGAAATGCGGTTTCTGCACATTGACTGGAATATCATAATAATCGGTATCATTAACATATATTTGTACATCCAAGTATAAGACACGAAACTTGTTGGTTGATTTAACGTAGGATATTTGGTTGTCTATTTATAGAAGCGTCTTGGCTCAATAGCTAATTTAGAGGTCGGCCAAACCTAACTTGTGGTTAACTACTCCGTACACATTAACTGCTACATAGTATTTACTTGATGAGACTGATATCGATATCTTGATAGGAGATGCAAAGCTGACGGTATATAACTGAGGCGCAACTGTGGAAATGGCTGATAACGTATCAAACGTGCAGCAGAGACGGAAGATCCTTAAGACTCTTTTCATCTCACTCCTACTTGACCTCGTAAGTACGCGCGCGCAAAGCCTCGTCCAGCCTAAAGGTTGATAACATATAGCGATTTACAACTTTTCATAGATATCGTTTACCTTCATCCTTCCGCTATTCCCGTCACTTATAAGATTCTATCTTGAAAAGGATCCTTCTCCAACATCTCTCCTGAATCGTATTCTCCACTACCTGAACGCCTACAAAAACTCGTTCTCCAAGCCGATAGACCCGAAATATGATGTCGTGCTTCTTGGGGGTGCGTTGGGATCTCTCTTTTCGCTTCTCCAGGCTATTGCAGCCCCCATAATTGGTTCTATATCCGATAAGTATGGCCGTCGGACTGCACTCCTCTGGTCCATGGTAGGGAACATAGCCAGCGTCGCATTGTGGGTTGCTGCCACGGACTTCCGAACGTTCCTGGGAAGCAGAATAGTGGGAGGGCTCAGTGAAGGAAATGTACAAATTGCGAATGCTATTGCGGCGGATATAAGTGACCCTAGCCAGCGAGGCTCGACGATGGCGTTAGTTGGGGCTTGTTTTAGTGTTGCATTTACCATTGGCCCTGCAATCGGTGCAGCATTGAGCAACATCACTACCTTTGCAGCTAACCCGTTTGCCACGGCTGCCGGATGTTCTTTGTTCTTGATCATCACAGAGACGATTTACATCTTCTTCTGCCTGCCAGAAACCCATCCGAGGCTGACATCCGGTAATTACAAACCTGCTACCTCTGATAATACCAGTGAGAAGAAGGATGACAGCAAGATAGGCACAGAGGACTCGCCTAGGAAAGTATCCGAGGGATACACCAACAACCCTTTCTTGCTGAACATCACACACTTTTTATTTCTCCTCCCTTTTTCTGGGCTAGAGTTTTCTCTTCCGTTTATCACGGCCAATCTCTACGAGTCTTCGCTGGTAGCAAATGCCGGTGAAGCAAGCCCTTCCGCCTTAAATGGTCGCCTGCTATCGGTAATGGGCTTGTTGGCATCAGTTCTACAGGGCGGGGTGACACGCCAACTTCCACCACTGCTCGCTATCCGTATCGGTGTCGTCGCATGCGCAATGTCCTTTACTTTACTTGCTCATATCACCACAATCTCGGGCTTGTATACTGCTGGCTGTTTACTTGCTGTCACTAGTGCAACCGTGGTGACTGGCCTCAACAGCCTGGGTAGTTTGGAAGCCCGTGAAGACGAACGTGGTGCTTCCCTAGGTCGTCTGCGAAGTTGGGGTCAAGCGGGCCGAGCTGCCGGTCCAGTCCTATTCTGTTCTTTGTTCTGGTGGGGAGGTAGGGAGGTTGCATATAAGACCGGTGCTGTAGCTATGGCGGGCGTTTGCGGAATTGTATTTGGGCTATTGAGGTCACCCATCCTGGCTAAACGAAAGTAACGGGTCAAAAATGGAGCATTAAGGATAATCCAACAAGGTAGTTTTTTCTAGGTCGAATGCATATAGGTTCTGGTTTATGCTATTAGTACATAGTTCCAAGAGATTTCATGGAATATCAGTTATGTCAGAGTGAGCTGAGATTTCCATTATTTATTCTAATCCTGGCCAGATTGATTAAAGATTGGGCTGTGTAATATACAGAAGTGAAGAAGAAATAAATGCCCAAAGATCCGTCGCTAAGAAATCAAAGAAAAGAAATAAAATGGTATGGGAACAAGATGCTATCAATGGCCAGAAGCAGAAACATAGGTATCATTAAATCATAGAACGCTGGCGGCCATCATATACCCAAATCAAGCTTCCACCATCACATCCCGGGCATAATCTCTGTAAAAACCATTAACTCCTCACACAATGTAGAGTTCAGGATAAGTGAAGAGCCATATCCAAGGAAAAGAGCATCGAACCGACAAGGAACTCTCATGACATAGTTTATCCATTGCTGGTATCATATTTCGAAAGGGCCAAAGCGATACCGTGGTCGGCGGATGTCTCTAACTCCCCCTGACACAAACGCAGGCTGGGGAGGAACAATTTCTCTGGATGCACTTCCTTTTGCCTTGCCCAAAAGCCAGTCTGTCAGGGTAACCACCTTAGCTGTTCGATCCCACCCGTTGCCTTCATCAGCATGTTCAATCGTATGCGTAGCTATTCGACCTTCTTCGTCAAATGTGAAAATAAATAAACCAGTAAACTGCTCTTCCTTCCCAAGTTTGAAGATCGGCATTTCTCCGCCTAGCAACACACTAAGCCCTCTGTTTATCCCATTTGAGGAAGATGAAGCCCCTGAGCTCTCTGTGTTTGTGTTTTGTGCCCGCTGGGCTCGGTCAGGTGTGATATAGTCATCTGTCTCTGAGCCACGGCCAACTTTAGAAGCCGGGCGACCGGCACCCTCAGTGACCCAACGAACGACAAGTTTTTCACCTCCAGGATTCTCGCTCAAGCCATTACCACTGGCAACGCCAGTTGGTACTACCCTCTCGCTCACTATTCGTAGATTGACGTTCCCAATGATAGGAACGCTGCCCCATGCCACAGGTGCAGTCCATAAAGCAGCTCGATAAGGAACCCTTCCTTTTACTGTGGGAAGATGCGGATGTGTAGACGGGAATAAATGGAGTGATATGCTTGGTGAAAGTATCTCTTGAGGTAGTGCGTTGACGAGGATTGTGGGTAGTTGCTTGGATAGGGTACGAAGGGCTGTTCCCATACCGTTAGCATTCGAGATTCCGCTTTCAGTGATCCTGGTCCCCAAAACATACTCTTTCCCAGTTTAACTATTCTTTCATCCGGTGGTCTATGGTCTCCGTCCTCATGTGGCCCGCCATAGTGAGCGGTCTGGTTTGCTTGCGAGAAGTATGTGGGGGAGACGGCCGTGAGCCATGGCCCATCGGGCTGTATGGGAGAAAGTTGCGCTAGTGAACGATTATGCGATAGCGGTTCATGGCTCCGGCGAGAAGTCCTTTGCGCTGTTTGAACGGAAGATCCGGCTTGCGACGAGACTCTGGTGATATATCTGCCGACCTGGGAGGTCTTTGGCTTGAGAGACGGCGGAAAGGCGATTTGATGCGTGAGATGCTTAGCCATTATCGGCAAGGGGTGGCATACATTCCATGTATTCCCGAGAAGCAGCCAGCTTAGATGGATATTTTAGTATAGACTAATATGTGTATTCTTGTAGAAAGATGGTGAAGGTAATATCTGAATATTCAGCAGTGTTAGAAAAAAGTTGGAGCTATCTTGATAAATAAGGGAAGACTGTGATTGGTTCGGACTAACGCGTCTTTACATAGCAAAAAGATTCTTGGGAGGCATATATTCAATATTTTGATAAGATAGAAAACAGAATGAAAGACTTGCTTCTATTCTCTTTTGATAAGTAGCAATATAATGCATCTAGCAACTCATAGATCGTGAACTAAGGCCAGCTTATATATCGTCATTATCTCCGGTGATGTCATCGTCATCATCTTCGCCCATCAGCCTTCTTTCTGCTATCGCCCTGATCTTGTCATCGAGGATAGACCTCCGGTAACGCTGTGCAACCTTGCTAGCAGCATTTAACACCCCTCCAGAGCGATCTCGGAACATCGTGACAAGCTCTAAGGCTTTCATACCCCTTTCTTCGCCTTCACGGCACTCGATATCAAGCAGCTGCAGGAGAATCTTGTCAATATCAAGAGCCTTCCTCCTCAGCTCTGTGTCTCCAGCTGCGCCAATTTCGGAGGCTTCGATACAGTCCTCCAAGAGAGTATAGTCCAAATTGGTTCTGACAAGAGACTCCTGCAGTTTCCTGTTTTTATTCCTGGCAATCTCTTCAGCATCGTCCATTTCTGTGTCTCCGTCTTTATTGCCCTTGTCCTTCGGATCAATTGAAGATACGGGCATTTGAAAGTCGAACTCAGTGAGCAACGGTCGGGGGAAGTAGGGGTACTTATCTCCACCCTTGAGGATTATGCAGTGGAATACGTCCTGTGCAACAGCAACGGGCCAATAGGTTTCTTCCTTTCTGCCACTGGCAACACGCTCAAGCAACTTGGTATCAAGGAGTGGGACCCAACGTGCTTGCCCTGGTTTGCGCCAATGTTGTAAAACAAGGAGAACCCCTGAGCTGTCATATATGCAGGGGTCCTGGTTCACTCATGTTAGTGAGCAATGACTTGACAGGGTACTCAGGGAGGTTGTACATACGCCCTTGTCCGAGAAAAACACACTTTGCAGCCATGTGCCCCCTGCTAATGCAACAGTGTCTTCATTCTGACAAATCTCGTCGCGTCGAACATTCTCAATGGAGTACTTCAATTGCGCGACTCCGTCACTGCCAGACGGGCCATTACCGATGGTCATAATGTAGTCGCGCCATGCAGCGCAAGTTACCGTCCGACTCTTTTGTCGAAATACCCGATACGGAGTTCCGAAAAGAGTGTAAATTCGAACATAGTCCGTGGACGTGCATACTGTAATATAAGAATTGCTTAATGCAATAGCTTCATGTACTGTTAGTAACACCCAATGACATAAATCAAGCAATAAAAAGGAAATATACCTGTAATCTTCTCGCCTTGCGGGAGTTCTGTTCGCCAGTCCGCTCTTGTTGTCCAAGTTTCATGTGGCCGGTAAAACACTGTTGCTGGGCTGCTGGATGTGGGTTGGCATGAGAACAAAGTGCCCTTTTCGTCTACAATAGCTTGTTAGACCATTATTCATAATTTTGAAGATGAAAGGGGGTCCAGACTTAAACAAGCCTTGTCATAAAGATACGGATCTGTAAAATGGAAGTCACGGTATCGTTCTCGATCATAGAACTCAACGGTTACAGTATTGTGTGTGTCTTGGTCAACAGTCCATACAAATCCAACGAGGTTCAAAGCTGTACCACCCGTCAACAATAGCTAGGTAGAAATAGGCATCTGGGGACATACCAAGATATCTTCTGTTCCCTCTCCAGGGCGTGCTGCCGGGTTGAAAAGGCTCGTGAGCAATGGTCTTCCAAGGAGCTGCTGACCTCCGTTTGATGTCATGACCTAACAAATCATCCATATGCGTATTGGTTCTCTTTCCATGTCCATTGATGTTTTCGGTATAGCCAGCACCATCGTCATCTTCGACGAAATCATCGGCTGGCCCTAGTATATCGTCGAGAGAGTCGGGGCTGTCTTCCCTCTGTCTGCTTCCAGCGTTATGACTGATATCGTTTTTTTGCAGTCTGTGGGAGATTGTAATTCCTTCATGTGAACCAATCGAGAGTAATGGCGCCACCTCCAGAGTTTTTGATAGAAGCGAATAATGGTCTGATGGTACGAAATCATCGTAAATAAACAATTCACCGTCCGAGGTAGTAAATGCAACAGCGTTCTGAGTAGGATGCCAACGGAAATTGATAACATTCGGGATATCATAGGATTTAATAACTCTCTGGGTCCTAGTTTCCCAGAGGAGGATCTTCCGGTCGGCCCCAGCACTTGCAAGCAATGCTCCATTGGGAGACCAAGCGAGACAGGTGATATCCCCGTTATGTCCACCGGAGAATTTTTTTTGTTTCGTCCAATCCCTACTTGATATTACAGTGATATCTCGTGTGGCCTCTACTGCAGCGAATGCAGTTCCATCTGGATGCCACACTGCGCTTGATGTTGCTTCATGGTCCGTTTCTAGGCGTTGAATCACTCCATCAAGTTTATGTAGCAGGGTAGGCTCTGTCTCTGTGAATGAATAGATATATATTATGCCGTCGGCACAGGAAACTGTGACGAAGCGTCCACTTGGGTCAAATGTTACATGTTTAACTCCCTTTGTCTGATCCCGTAAATATTTGACTTCCGTGATATCGTTAACGCTCACGATCTTGACAGTGAGTTCGCTATGTAGAAAGGTCGAAAGTTAATAAGGCTCCAAATTTCTCATGAGCTACTACACAAAAGCCATGGTCATCTAAACTTACTCGCTAGCAACAGCGACCCATTCCTCGTCTTTAGAGATCGCCAAGTCACGGATTGGTAAGGTGCACCGAACCAAAGGCTTATCAATTGTGCCTCTTCGCAGGTCATAGAGCCATACGGTGCCATCCTCAGAGCCCAGAATTAGAGAGTCATTCTATCTAGTTCGTTAGACGGGCTCAGGCTATGGTAGAATTATTCATATAGAGGGGATAAATGCATCTGAAGCTACATACAGTTGCTGCAATTGCAAGATGACTTTCCACCCCCTCATCGATTGTCTTTGGTTCGCCATGCTCTCCAACTGAAAATATTCGAATTGCAGAGTTAGATCCGCCAGTGATTACCTGTCGACCATTGGGTGTATATGTTAGGACTGTGGTGCCAGGGGTATCTGGAATTCACGTCCGTAAGTATTTGCGTAAGAAGATGGGGGGAGCAATAAAAGTACATACGAGCTGGTCTGCCTCTCAAATTGTTGCTATCTGGAGCCATAGTTGCTTCTATCAGGAGAATACAGCTCAGTGCTATCAAAATAAAAACAATCTGTGAAGTTTGGGAGGGAGCTGTTCATTAATGCGAAAGTCGTTTTGTCTCCAGTGGGATTCAATATATGGAAGCGCGTCGCGGTCGTGATTCTTAGTCATCAGTCATTAAAGTTACTCGGGTATAAGATAAGATAATCGGAGTTAAGTGCGAAGTGAGAGGAAGGTATTATTACATTAAAAGAAAGATGTACACATTCTAGCCGCTAAGTTCTCATCTTTAGCGTGACTTGTATGTCTTTTGGCTCGTCCACTAAGCTTCCACTCCTCCGACTGGGCAATTTCCAGTCTTTTTCCTTCGTAGGTTCAATTTCCCACGTTACCAAAATGGCAGCCAAAATGCCAACTACCTTCTTCTGTTCTAACTTCCAGCAGATGGAAACTGGATCGTCCCACCCGACTGAATAACTTTGTTCTTCATCTGGTGCATTTTCCGAACCTTTCTTTTCCTCGTGTGGTTCCAATGGCGATGTATCATTTACTGGTTCCTCATCATTAGCTTCATCCGGTGCAAACCTGGCAAGGTGTCGTCGTGGGTCGAACTTGTCAGGTGATTTATAGTAAAGCGGGTCTCTATTTCGCAATGAGTGAGGTATAACAATAAAATCACCCTCAGATAGACGATAGGTCTGGGGTTTTCGAGATGCAAGATATGCATCGCCATCAGATTCGGTAAGGTTGATATCGGAGGTGACCTTTCGATAGGTAAATGAGGACGAGTAGAGTCGATTGGTTTCTCTCTGGGTAGCCAGGAGTAAAGGACATGATTCAATGAGCTTATCAATATCCAAAGACACTCGTGGTGGTTCCGGTATACCAAACCCTGTTGGATCCGAGCGTATAAGCTTGGCATAGGGAGCAATTTCACTCAACACTTCGGCATGTAGCTTAGAATCAGCCAGTATATGTACCAGATTCCAGAATATCAAGGCGTTTGCTCTGACTGTAACCGCCCAGAGCAACGATAGGTCTTCTGACGCAGCATATTCGACGGAGTAACCATTCTTGATTCGTGTTCGCATTCGAGCCTGAACCGCCGCGGAAACATCATCAAGATCTCGCCAAACAGCCTCGGGTTCCTGTCCGTTTTCTAGCTGGCTAAAAATCGCATTATGTACTGTGAGGCCTACTAGAAGGCGGCGGCGAGCGAGGTATGCATTGACAAGACCAGGAAATGGAATCCACCGCTGGATTCCAAGCAACATGGCATTGAATTTGCCATTAAATATGGAAACATCGGTCAAAATGTTAGGGTAGACATCAAGCAGAGACTTTCCCATCAAAAGATTGATGGAGATTGATCCAACAAAGCCTCCAATCAAAGAGTACAGATTAGCTATGCATGCTCTCTCTCCATTTTCTTCATTTCTGAGAGTCACGCCGCTTATTCGTTCCCATTGGTACTGGTCTACCACACTGGATGTGAAGGAGACAAGAGAAGGGATAATTCGTTCAACTTCCTTCACCAGTGAAGAAGACAAGTCGTTCAGGTACGGCTCCTCGGTTAGAAGCTTTGTCCATTCCGCTGCTTCGCCGTGATAAGTACCTTCACGTCCGGGTTTTCTTGCACGACTACTGGATCCAAAAGCATTGTCCATCAAGTAATTGATACACGGCTCTGCTGACGTGGACTGCCGTTGCATAAACAAGCTTTTGACCATGGAAGGGGTTGTAAGGACAACATGTCTCCTACCCCAACAGTAGAAACTGAATGCAGCGCCGCGCTCAGGTAGCCTGTGAAATAGGTTAATAGATGCCTTTACAGTAAAGAAGGTCTTCCAATAAAAGACAAAGTTTAAACCAACCGAGCATTGAAAAGCAGCCTTCCCCGGAAGAATCCTAGAGAGAGCCAATGGCCAATATAAGGGAGCCAGTAAGGAACCTTGTTTGGAGTTATTGACCCATCGGGATATTGTGTTCTGAGTCCGGATAAACTGGTGATCTGGGTCGAGATTCGGGTGAAAAGACATATCAAAACAAACACTATGGCCACTCCCCAACCGCTCAGGTGAGCGAACAGCTGCCGCAGTGCCTCTATAGCAAGCTGTGGTACCGACGGTGTATCGTTGTCCATTTATTCTTCTCCTCCACTGATATACTTGCAGAGCAAGGAGAAGTTGCACGTCGCGGAAATTAAACTCGAAGCTCGAATTAAGCATGTCACATGATGTTGATCCTTGGATGACATAATACTACCACGTGTCAGGGGAAGCCCTACATTTTATTTATAGCTGCCCCGTGATATAGAAAAGATAAAATCGCCCCTGAATCCAGCATCCCCGAGATGCCGAACAGCACCAGGGGCAAAGAAAGGGAAAAAGAAAAAAAGACATCCCTTGGAGATTCCTTGGTGACATTCCAACTGTTTGCATGCAGTACGGAGTAGTCCAGTTGGAAATAGGCCAAACTAGCGAATCACGGCGTTGGAGACTCCACCGCAATGTCTCACACTCTCATAAATTGGAGCCTCATCTTCGCTTCATAAAGCTTGCCCTTCAACGTTTAGCCAGGAAAGATGAACTGTCAGAGGCCTGAGGGGCGTCGGCTACGCCCGTGGTTGGCCTTTGCCAAATATTCCATGCCCCAGACTAGGCTGGATCGAGAATAGCAGTCGGAGGATGCGCCTTCAAAGATCCTAGTTACACTTGGCTAGACCTTGTCTAGGTTGTGGTACTCCAGATGGAGGGGTGGTATTTTTACATAACGGGGCACCGAGTACAGAATATATGAAAGAAAATATGCCCAAGGGCCCCTTACAGGATGAGATTTTCTGCGGGTCGAAGTGTCAGAGGGCGCGTGCCCACTCTCTAGAGAGATAGAAAAGGGCCTTTTTATCAGTTGCGGCGCCCTCTGAGGTTCTTTTCCTACTTTCATACCATTGTCGCCCGGCAGCGTCTTTCTTCCCCTTCTTGTTAAGAGCCTCATTGCTAAAAAGAGTATTTTGCCAATGATGGCCTCGCGAGTTTTGCGCCTTTGCGTGCTTCTCCAAGCGCTAGGTAGCACTCAGGCTTTTGCGCCTCCTTGGACCGTCACCAAATATTTCGAAGCATCTGTAACCACTTTCCCAGGACAAACAGGGCGTTATGGAACGTACCCAGCTTCAGAATACACCGAGACAACGGCCATTGTACCAACAGTTTCATCACCTCGCGCCACCACAACATTCACCACATCCAACTATCACGATGTCACCATCATAGCAATTGGCCTTGAACCAGGCCAGGGGACGTCTTCAACTTATGACTTCTACACGGAATCCCAAACCTACTACATTCCCCTCACGTATACATACCCGTCATCATGCTCTGTAACATCTGGAGAGAGTACCATCACCACATCTGGACAAGTTACAATCCCAACTGATGTCCGGAACCAGATTACCCCAACCCAGACATCAATAACAACGTCAACAGAGGAATACCGTCTTACGACATATCGGTATACAAATACGGGGGCGCTTTTGAACCCGACGGACCTTCCATCCGCGGTTTACAGCAGCGTCGAAGCCGAGAATACCCCTTTTGAGATCAGGTACTGTAAATATTCCTCAGGATACGGTTCAGGGACTAGTTCTGGTTCAGGATCTAGCTCTGGTTCTTACTATGGCAATTCTTGTTACGGGTATTATGGGTGCCACCGCTCCTATTGGCCTGGATATTTGGCGTTGTCCCTTATTATCATCTTCTGTTGGTTCGGCTTCTTTTTCATCGTGGGTTTGATTGAGAGCACTGTTAGGTTCAGAAGACTTATGCGCGGCCGCGGGGCAAGCAGAGGGCTGCCAAGGTCATTCGCTTGTCTGTGCCCGTTTTTATCGTGTTTGTTTATCATATGTATGCACCGGGGTTACAGGCCAAAACCGAGAGAAGAGCAAGAAGAATTGGAAAGAAATTGGAAATCCATGTCCTTCGCTGCGAAATTTACTCTCTGGTTAAAATACGGATTTAGCAGAAGCTATCCTCCACAGCTTGGTACACCACCTCCCCTTGCGACTGATCCATTGCCCACCGAGCAGCCTCAAATGGCACAACAGCCTCCAGTTCCAGGTGTTATGCCACCACTCCCTCAACAGACGGGACCACAGCCTCTGTCTCAGCAGACAAATCAACAAGCTGAGCAGAACATAGATATCCGACAGCAAGAACAACAACCTCATTCCCACCTGACAGAGCAACAGCCAGGAGCTCCACAGAGAGAATACGAGCCGTTGCCAGTCCCAGCCCCATACCAACCACTTCCAACAGTTGCCCACAGTAGCAGCAACAACAACAACAACCTGTTATTCGAGCAATCTGGACAGGTAATCTCGCCGGTTTCTGGAAGTGGCTCTCCAATTCCTCACCAAACGGAATTACGAGAATCGCCGGCTGGCACAGCTGAAGTCCCCAACGGTGGACCTAAAGCTATTTAATCAGGCCCCAAAATTAACGCTATTTTTTGATACCACTTTTACTGTTCTTAACTCATTTCAAGATGTCTTCTCAATGTTTTCTTAATGTACCATGGCCTTTGGGGGAACTAACTATACTGTAATACCCTAGTATCCTATATCACCTCTCCAAGAGGAATGCTTATGCACTTTAATACCATTGCATTTCTTATGCCAAAATTCCATTAAAACGGTGCCAATAATAATTGCAACTTAGAGAATATATATATGATAATTACGGAAAGCCCTCTATGTTCGCCTTACTCTTATATTACATGCTCACGATAAACTTCAGTACTAAATAAATATGATTAACAATATGTGCAATAAAGAACCCATCACGTCTTATTCTAAACTTCAGTTTTCAGAACCAGCTTTAACTGCGCACTCTCCATCTCATATTGATCAACCTTCGCCTGGCTCAGGGCCAAGTTTGTCAAGAGCCATTTGATCCTTCTTCTTGCTTCACTAGGCTCTTTTGAAAAGGAGCCCAGGACCCGGAGTTCATCTTCAATCTTATTGATAGCCTGGTTCTCCATTGCAATCATCTGGCTGAGTATCCTCAGGTCAAGCCTACTCCTCAGTACATTATCCTCAACCAGCTGGTTGAAGGCAGCTGCGAGAACAGGTTTTCCAGGTTTGATTATCGAAGGGCGCCCGTTCTTTGAAATGACGGTGATGAGCTCTGCTTTTTCAAGAGCACGAAGGGTATTTTCACCATCCTTCTTGAAAAGGTCGGAGAGAATTATATCACTGTATCGGACACTGGCTTCATCTTCTGCATCAGGGCAGGGATACTTTCCTGTCTGAGTCTCCCCAAGACCTAGTTTTTTTATCAGGTACCATGCTTGTTCAGGAGTCCAGCCTCGGGAGCCTGAATCAACTTCCGTGATGAATATTTTAAGGATTTCTGCAGCGGACTGGTGTACTATTTGTTGAACGGCATCTACAGGAGGTTAGATTTAAGAACGAGTTTGATGTTAGTAAGCAGTAGTGGGAAGCTTACCCTTTGGAGTCAGACCTCTAGCTATCATACGTGCGAAAAACTCCAGATCTGTCAAGCGGCCCCCGAGCCTCTTGATACATTCGCCAAGTTCCTCATTAAACCTTTCATCCGCATAATCCACACCTTTAGCATCGTCGTCACCTGACACATGGCTTAAAACGAATCGTTTAGCCACTTCAGGCTTGCAGTCCGTAAACGATACTTGATGGAATACCTGATTTGGCAAAGCCTGGCTCAGAGTTTTGGAATAAGAAAGGTCCGAGGTGAGGAAAACAACATGCGCAATGTTGGTATATATCAATGCTGCGGCCCATTCTGCAAGTTTGTCGTAGACCATCTGGTTGTCCTTGCTCTTATGGAGGAAGTTGTCGATAACAACTACTGGCCGACGAGCAGGGTTTGCCTCCAGCCATTCATCATCATTCAAGTGGCTGTCCTTGTCTCCTTTCCTCCTTCCATCCAACGCAATCTTTTTCAGTGCCTTGGCAGTGCTTTGCAATATATTACCAAGCTGACTATCCAAAGTTTCAGAAAGCCCGGCTTTGGTACCAATTGCGCTCTGTGTTGCAACATCAACCACACTGCTGATACTATTCATCCAGGAAAATACTGGTCTGTAGCCAACCTCGGCGGCAGCGGCAGCTATCATGGTGCTGTCGCCCGGGGCCTCTTGGATGGGTTTGCAATCAATTACCAATTTGTTCTTGTAATTTTTGAGGGCTTCATCCAAAACGAACTCTTTCTTTCCTAAACCTCGTGGCCCATGCACAACAATAAAGGTATCGTTCCCTTCCACAAGCCAGTTCTGAATTTGCTGGGCATCCTCTTTCCTGTCTTCCCAGATCTCATTAAGACCTTTCGATTCATGAAATTGGTCACGATGGAGCGAGAGTAAGGAGTTAGCTTTTGTAGCCTGTCTTTGAACCCACATCCATAACCTGTTATCCTGTAGCTGAAGCGGAGGAGAAACTTTAAGCCTTATGAAAAAAGTTCGTATTGGGTCAAAAACAGCGACAGTGACTGCGGCCAAAATCGCAACAAGAATGGGAAGCACAATTCGAGGATGACTGAATATCCAGTCCCTTATCCAATGTGTCTTTATTTTTCTTTCGTAGCTAAATTGTAGGACCGTTCCTGCTTTCCCTCCACCTTCTTCTGTAGGGACCTTAAACCCATGAAGGCAGTTTTTTGCCATGACAGCGGATACCGGATTGGAAAAGTCAAGTAGAGCGTATCTTGGTACAACTTTTGACTCCGCTGACTGCGGAATGATGTCGGTCAATTTTCCATACGTCCTGGTGAGTGAGTAAAGGGACTCTTGAGTAAGCTCTGCTGCGGGTGCATCTTGAGATGCGGGTAGGAATTCAATTTTAACCCTTGAGCTCGGAAACCGATAGGATAAGTCCTCCACCCAAGGGCGCCCTCGCACAAGGGCAGCGCTGGCGGAGTTGAAGAGACTAAACCACGGTTTTACGGGATTCTCCTCCAAATGGCGGGTTACAGCTTTAATGATATCTGAGTCTGTAGTTTCAGGGCCATGGGATAACTTGACAAAAGCGCCACCTTCTGTAAGACGTGGAATAACTTGAGTGATTCTTGAATGGAATTCATTAGGGAGCACCTGCTCAACGACTGTCGAGGAGCCCGTAAGCTCAGCACCTTCGACTCCAAGTTTTTCTAATCGTTGTAAGACAATTGCGTTAGGGTTTATGTATGGGATTCGAGATAGCCAGCCTAAATGAACAGGAAGGACGCCTAGGATATTGCATTAGTATTTCTCATAATGCTATACCTTCAAGTTAACTTACTACTGATGAAAATTAGGGCTTCATTCGGGGCTTTTTTTATATACCCAGCTCTATGTGGCTCTGTTGCCGAAGCCTGACATATGTTCCTATAAATCTGGCACCGCCTCCTAGCTACACTCAAGGGCTGGCTTCTCCAAACTGTTTGCCCAGGACGAATGCCATAGACTACAGGAATCATATTGTGAGTGAGTGTAAGTACCTTTCAGAGCTTCGCAAGCTCAACAAAAGTATGAGATCAAGCACCAGGCCTCGGAACGGCCATTTCTCAGGCTTGCTTGAAGTTCTTTAGCAATTCCATAACATGACGTAGAGAATTCTTGGTTGAAATAAGGGATGTGGATCTATCACGTGATAGAGTCTATTAGAACTTTTCAGCTTTTTCATTTCAAGATGTGAACAGTTTACGAAATACACACAATGGGTTGGCTATGGAATAGCAGTCCGGCCCCGGCCGAGCAGGCGCAGAAAAAGGAGCCATCAGCCCCGGCGGCAAGCAATTCAAACCCATTCCCACCAAATACTACAGAAAACCCTACAGCTCAGAGATCTCAGAAACCTTTAGGCCGCGATGAGCTTGCAGAAGCTGAGCTGAACGAGCTGTTAAAGTCGCTGGATAACTCTTCCTCGTCTACTGAACAAAATGCGCCATCCACCTCTAAATCCCGAACCTCCAAGCAATTGCTCTCACAATCTATGGACTTTGAATCTCCATCTACACAATTCCAGGCGGAACCCCTCTACCCGAAAACCATGTCTTGCCGCACCGCTTTTGATTACGCGTATTTCTGCCAGTCCTTTGGAGGCCAATGGGTGAACGTCTATCGATACGGTGAACTCCGGTCCTGCAGTGAGCATTGGTCCGACTTTTGGTTCTGTATGCGCTCGAAGTCACTCCCCGACGAGGAAAGAGAGAAAGCCATTTCTGATAGATATAGGAGGAAAGCTATCAAGTACAAGACTGGCCCCAGTAGTGAAGACGTCTGGGAACTTAGAAAGGAGCCAGTTATAGGAGCATTCCAAGGGGACTATCTCGCTTTTGAGCGGGAGATGGAACAGTTAAAAAAGCAAGAAAACGGCACAGAAGTGAATAGAGAAAATGCAATGAAAGCTTGAGGGTGGGATATGTAACGGCGTTGGATTACATATTATGCCATATTAAGGGGGTTCAATTAAGTAACGGATGCATTGATTGTCTTTCTATATGTATTATTAGAGTGTTAGAATACCCTTTCCTATCTCTCCTCCCGGCGTTTGGGCGGAAAAGGACTTTTAAGACCATTTCGGTTGGTATATGTATATAATTAATTCTTGTTCTATATACTACGAACCATAAGCAAAGAAGTGTATAACTACCAAATTTATTCATGTCAAGCTCCATCTCTGCATCACCAGCCAAAAAAAAAAAAAAAAAAAAAAAAAAAAAAGCAAAAATCGAGACATTGGCAGGATTCAATGAACAAATTCCCCTCTGATAAAATCCGCCGTCATAACCAAAGCAACGAGCAAATATAAAAATGATCATACATATTAGTGTCGAAAAGAACGGAAATGCCACAGCTAAAAGCAGTATAAATAAGGGTACAAAAAGGGTCAAATCATGAATGATGCAGCTTTTCTGTTGGCAAAACCCGCTTACCTTCGTTCAAGAAGATATACAAAGACACAATAAATATTAATTGAAACGAATAGCAAATATCAGACAGAGGCTTGCTACTTTTACGCCGCGACTATCGGTATCTCCATTTGGCTCGGGGGAACAGCCTCTATTGCCGGACGCCGAACGATTCCTCCACTTGCTGGAAGATAAGATGCGCTACCCATGAGATACGAGTCGATTTCACGAGCGGCTTGTCGGCCTTCATTGATACCCCTAGAAATAGAAAGACGAGTTAATACGGTAGTCATTTTCAGGCCAGAGAGTTCAGCTTGAAGATGGTCTACATACCAGACAATAAGAGACTGTCCACGCCTACAATCCCCAGCAGCAAACACTCCAGGAATATTGGTTGAATAGTGGCCAGTAGGAGTCTTGATATTCTTCCGTGCATCTCTTTCGATCTTATCTCCTAGAAGTCGGTCCTCAGGGCCCAAGAAGCCCATTGAGAGGAGGACAAGGTCGGCAGGGAAGAACTGTTCACTGCCCTCGATGGTCTTCATATCCCATCCGCCCGAAGCACTCTTTGTCCACTCTACTCGGACTATATTAATGCCTTTGACATGGCCCTTTTCATCGCCAACAAACTCCTTCGACATGACACAGAATTCTCGTGGATCTTTGCCCATGTGTGTCTTGACTTCGCTGTGCCCGTAGTCTATACGGTATATTCGTGGCCACTGGGGCCATGGGTTGTCGCGAGCACGCTCCTGTGGAGGTTGAGGTAGAAGCTCGAAGTTGGTAACGGATTTCGCACCGTGACGAACTGAAGTTCCAATACAATCGTTGCCAGTATCGCCGCCACCAATTACGATGACGTCCTTGCCCTTTGCGGAGATATACTCGCCATCGCTTAGCTCAGAGTCGAGCAGTGACTTTGTGTTGCGGTGCAGGAATTCCATGGCGAAATGGATTCCCCCCAGATTGCGATTTGGAATTTTCAGGTCTCGCGCAACGGTAGCACCTGTAGCAATGACCACAGCATCATTCGCCTTTTGAAGGGATTGGAGAGACACTTCCTGGTCTGGGCCAACGACTGTGCCAGTGACAAATTTGATGCCTTCAGCTGCCATGAAATCTACTCGTCTCTGGACAACTTTCTTGTCCAACTTCATATTTGGGATTCCATACATCAACAAACCTCCAACACGGTCCGCACGTTCATACACCGTCACACTGTGTCCAGTGCGGTTTAGCTGGTCTGCAGCAGCCAAACCAGCAGGACCAGATCCAATGATTGCAACAGATTTTCCAGTCCGGCTGGGAGGCTGTTTCGGGACCATCCAGCCCATCTCAAATCCTCTGTCAATAATAGCACATTCGATCGACTTGATGCCAACTGGATCGTCGACAATTCCAAGAACACAGGCACCTTCACATGGAGCTGGGCAAACACGGCCGGTAAACTCTGGGAAATTGTTTGTCATGAGTAGCCTGTTGAGTGCATCTTGCCATTGATTCTGGAATACAAGCTCATTCCACTTTGGAATGACATTTGAAATTGGGCAGCCAGTATCGGACTGACAGAATGGGACACCGCAGTCCATGCATCTGGCAGATTGATATTTCAACTCATCCTCTGTAAGTCGTGGTGATAGCTCTTGCCAATCACGAGTACGAGTCCTTGAGCTCCTATACTTTTCATGACGCCTGGCATACTTCATGAAACCCTTTGTCTTGTCTAAGATCAAAGCAGTACGCTTTTTCTCTGTTTTGGCATCACCAATACTATCTTCAATGTCCAGAAGATCAGCCTTGGGTTGAGATTGGCCACGATGTTTATAGTCTGCCGTTTCATCTTGCTTTACTACAAGTTTTTGACGAGAGCTTGATTGTGTGAGTTCTAATTTCTTAGCTGCCTCAACTTTGGCTGCTTCCTCCTCGAGCACTCGCTTATAATCTGTTGGCAGAACCTTTATAATATGCGACAAGGCTTTGTTGAAATCAACCAAGACCCTGGCTGCAATCTCAGAACCAGTGTAATGGTGATGGTCTTCGATCAGTCCACGCAAGAAAGCAATTTCAGCGGGGTCCTCAACGCCAGACAGCTCAACCATCTCTATGTTGACTTTCCGATGAAAATCTCCAGCAGTATCAAGAATATATGCAATACCACCAGACATACCGGCAGCGAAATTTCGCCCTGTGGAGCCCAGAATTAACACACGGCCGCCAGTCATGTACTCACAGCCATGATCGCCAACTCCTTCAACAACAGCAGTTGCACCAGAGTTACGAACAGCAAACCGTTCAGCAGCAACACCACGGAAGTAGCAGTTTCCACTAGTGGCGCCATACAAGCAGACATTTCCGATAATGATATTTTTTTCCGCTTGGAATACAGCACCGCGAGGAGGGTAAATGATGAGACGACCTCCAGATAAACCCTTCCCAACATAGTCATTCGAATCACCCTCAAGTTCAAGCGTGACACCAGGGGCCAGGTAGGCTCCGAAAGACTGCCCCGCGGATCCTCTGATGTTGGCATGGATAGTATCCTGAGGTAGTCCAGCTTCCCCATATCGTTTACTGATTTGATAGGAGAGCGTGGCACCCATAGCACGGTCTGTGTTAACAATATCACACTCGACTCTGCAGGGAAGCCCCTTTTCTAAAGCCAATTCCGCCTCTGCAATGAGTTTGTTATCTAGGCGAGTATGAAGGCGATGATCCTGTTTTCTCACGTTATAAGTTGCCACTCCGGGCCTGAGGGAGTGCGCGGGAGTTAGTATAAGAGAAAGGTCGATGTTTTGCATGCGAGTAGATGCTAGGTCATCCCTGATCTTGAGAAGCTCGGCTCGTCCAACCATCTCGTTAATACTTCGGAAACCGAGCTTAGCCATGATTGCACGAAGCTCGTTAGCAATGTAGTAGAAGAAGTTGATAACATGCTCAGGGCTGCCCTGGAATTTCTCCCGCAGGACAGGGTCCTGGGTTGCTATTCCGACAGGGCAAGTATTCAAGTGACATTTTCTCATCATGACGCATCCCATTGCGATCAATGGAGCAGTTGCAAATCCCCATTCCTCGGCCCCTAGCAAACAGGCAATAGCAATATCTCGACCGGTTCTGAGCTGCCCGTCAGTCTGAACGATGACACGCCCACGTAGGTCATTTAGGACCAAAGTCTGATGAGTCTCAGCCAAACCTAGCTCCCATGGCAAACCAGCATATTTGATACCAGTCCATCGAGAAGCACCTGTACCTCCGTCGTGGCCAGCAATAAGAATATGATCTGCTTTAGCCTTTGCAACTCCGGATGCAACAATACCGACACCAACCTCTGAAACAAGCTTGACAGAAACACGAGCACGAGGATTAGAGCATTTGAGATCATAAATAAGTTGTTTAAGATCTTCAATAGAGTAGATATCATGGTGTGGTGGGGGAGAGATCAAACCGACACCAGGGGTAGAATGTCGGGTATGTGCAATAGACCCAGTGACTTTATGACCAGGCAATTCACCTCCTTCACCAGGCTTAGCACCTTGGGCCATCTTGATTTGCAGTTCATCTGCATCAGCTAGATAGCTGGAAGTGACGCCAAATCGGCCAGAAGCAATCTGTTTGATAGCAGATCTCATTGTGTCGCCGTTCTCGTTGATCTTGCTACGATTGGCATCCTCACCACCTTCACCAGTATTAGATTTACCACCAAGCCTGTTCATAGCAATAGCAAGGGTGGAATGGGATTCAAAGGAGATAGATCCATAAGACATGGCACCGGTGACAAAACGACGGACAATGTCAGTCCATGGCTCAACCTGGTCAATTGGGACAGGCATCCGTTGCTCAAAATCGAACTCTAGCATTCCACGCAATGTGCAGTTCTTGATCTGCTCATATTCTGCCTTAGCATATGCTTCATATGATTTGTCGTTTTTGGTACGGACGGCATCTTGCATATTGGCAATGCTGACTGGGTCGTTGATATGTGGCTCTCCTCCGTCTCGCCAGTGGTATTCTCCGGATTCAGGAAGGCCAGGTATTTCGGTAATTTGTCGAGATGGGAATCCTTTTTCATGAAAAGCAAATGCATCCTGCGCAATTGTTTCAAACGTCATTCCTCGAATCCTGCTCGCTGTTCCAACAAAACATCTATCAATGACACTGTCATCGATACCAAGGGCCTCAAAAATCTGCGCTCCCTTATAACTCTGCAATGTGGAAATACCCATTTTACTCATTACCTTCAGGATACCTCCGTCAACAGAATGTTTGTAGTTATTGACAACCTGGTCATCTGTAAGCTTCTTGCGGATTAGACCATCGCGGTTCATTTTAAGTATGCACTCTAATGCAAGGTACGGACAGATTCCATCAGCACCATAACCAACAAGAACACACATATGATGAACTTCGCGAGCTTCAGCAGTTTCTACTACAAGGGCAGCTAATGAACGCCATTTATTGCGAACAAGGTGGTGGTGGACTAGGCCGGTAGCCAAGAGTGCAGATACAGGAACTCGGTCAGTGCAAGTAGCTCGATCAGACAAAATCAAAACACGATCACCATTCTCGATGCCTGCAGTAGCTGATTCACATATAGCGTCGAGTGCGTCAAGATACCCCTGGACTCCATTTGATTTCTCAAAGGTGATATCAATGATTCTTACAGGCCAGTCTTTGTGAAGGGAGGTGATGTTTTTTATAGCGTCGAATTCACTAAGCGAGAGAATAGGGGATGGGAGGTGAAGACGATGGCACTGTGCTTCATCGATCTCAAGCAGATTGCCTTGGGGGCCGACATAACACTCCAAAGACATGACTATAGCCTCACGGATAGGATCGATAGGGGGATTGGTGACTTGGGCAAAGAGTTGGCGGAAGTATTCGTACATGAGACGCGGCTGCTGGGCAATGCAAGCAAGAGGAGCATCGTTACCCATTGAACCAAGTGCCTCTTTAGAGTCCGCAGCCATTGGGCCTAGGAGTAAGCTGACTTGTTCAAAAGTATACCCGAATGCCTTCAGTCGTGGATCTTGCTGCACGGTCAATCCATCTAACTTAGGTGAAAGCTCGATTGTTTTGTTGTCGATGAATTTCTGGTGGATTTTCGGCAGGCTGAGGAGCTGTTTCTCAATCCATTCGGCGAATGGCTGGCGACTTGCAACAGTTTGCTTTAATTCTGCATCATCGATAATCCTTCCAGCAACAGTATCGACAAGAAGCATTTTCCCAGGTTGCAAACGACCCTTTTCGATTACACGCTCCTGGTCGATATAGAGAGCACCAACTTCGGATGCACAGATGATTCTATCATCGTCCGTAATATAATATCTGCATGGCCTAAGACCATTACGATCCAAATTGGCGCCGCAGTATCGACCATCAGAGAAAGTGAATAGGGCCGGACCATCCCAAGGCTCCATCTGGCAGGCTGCCCATTCATAAAAGGCGGCCTTTGTTGTGTCCATGGCGGGATTGTCCTGCCAGGCTTCAGGTATCATTAGCATGACTGCTTCGGGGAGTGAGAGCACGCCGTTAATCGTCAGCAGCTCTAGCACATTGTCAAACGCTGCAGAGTCGGAGCCACCATCTTCTACAATGGGGTAGAGGAGGTCCAACTCCTCTCCGAATATTTCTGATTTAAGTACACCTTCTCTCGCCCTCATCCAATTCTTGTTTCCACGAAGGGTGTTTATTTCACCGTTGTGAGCTGCCCATCGGAGAGGCTGTGCACGATCCCACGAAGGGAAGGTGTTTGTGGAGAATCGAGAGTGAACCAGCGCAAAGTGACCTTCATAATCCACTGAAACGAGATCGTGATAATATTCATAAACCTGAACAGGGGCCAATTGTCCCTTGTATACGATGTTCTTATTACTAAGGGAACAAAGGTAAAACCAATTGGCAAGCCCAAGGATATGAGTGGCTCGTTTCCGCAATAAATACAGCTGCCGTTCAAAAAGCCGCTCATCGAAGAGGTCAGCGTGGGTTTCAAGGGGAGTATTACCATCCCCATATGCGTAATGAAGGACAACGATGGGTTGGTAAATGAATGGTTCACGAGACAGAGCAGCAGGGCCAAGTATGGTTGAATCATGTGGCACTTCTCTCCACCCAAGAACTCGAAGGTTCAGCTCTTTAGCAAGATTCTCAAATGTAGCCTGGGACTCCTTCAGAGCTACAAGGTCTGGCTTAAAAAAGAGATTCCCCACCGCATATTGTCCCAATGGCGGAAGAATAATATCGATATCTCTGGCAAAATGTTTCACAAAGAATTTATGGGGAATACTGGTCATGACACCGGCGCCATCACCGTCTCGGGCATCGGAGCCTACCGCCCCTCGATGGGTCATATTGCAAAGTAACCCTCGTGCTGCAGCAGATTCGGGTCAGACTCACTCTCAAAATTAGCAAGACAAACACCAGTGTGCGGTAAGACTTACCATCGCTGACAATTTTATGGCTCGCCTTTCCTTTGATATGACTAGAAACATGGTCATTGAGCATCCATTCCTTTTTAACTGAGGCCGAAGGGGACATACGCAGTGAAGCCTACACCACAGGCATCCTTCTCGAGCTCCGGGTCGTAGAGGCCCTGCTTCTGAGGCAAGGCTTCCGCCCAGCCATAACCGCTCTCAGCCTTATATGGGGAGTACTCGTCGGGAATATCCTCTTCAATAATTAAATCATACGGCTTCTCCAAGAGGCCCATTCTTCCTGCCGGTGAAGTGGCAGAGAGAGGTCACGCTTGTTTTATCCCAATTGCGTGCGGTTGTGAGTTGAAAACAATGGCGTTTGTTGTATCAGACCAAAAGCTGGAGGGAGGATCGATGAATGTGCAGGGTGAGTGAAGATGAAAAGAAGAGAAGGAGGGGTGGAAGGAAGAAGGTGAGTGTGTGTGGACGAGACAGGATGAAGCTAATGAGTAACTAGTGCCAGTACAGGACACCCTCGGAAGTTGCCCATTGTCTACGGTTGAGCCGTTCGGTTCCATTGCTCGTCTGGGTGTCTACCGGACGTGGGGGAGAGCGAGGGCCTACGGATTGAACTTCTGCGCTTCTCGTGGCAAATGCGCTCTGGGTGACATCCTCGGAAGGACGGTCTGGGGCAACCCGCGGGATCTCCTTCTAACGCAGCGCAGGAAGATCCTACCAAAGGCCTTGCGCTCTCTTCCGTCCAAGGTCGTTTTTTGGCGGAGGAAGAAAAAGTGACGAAGGAGGGAAAGATAAAAAGTGGGCACTTGTGCTAATCGACGCTCTCCTATTGGTCAGAACTGCTTATCTAAAGTTTTAACCTTAAAAAGCTTCGACCAAGCTGGAACGAACTTCTTGTTTTTATAGATGCAAAAGCAAGGAGAGAGAAACTTGTGGGCGGCGAGATATCAAGGGACAGGGGGATGCAAAGCCATGGAGACTACATGCTGATTCCATGCGCCATAGTCCGGTTGTGACTTGCTGTCTCAACGGCCAAAAAAGGACAGGCGAGACTTCCCCAGTTTCTTCTGCCTTGGCTTCTCCGTGGAAGCCGTGTGGCCCGGTGGGCCCTGCCCTATACCTCAACCTGGTAAAAAGCATGTGCTTCCGCTGCATATCCCCCACCGCGCTGCATTATTTACATCGGTTGAACGACCAGAGGAGAGCGATCATTGGCGGGTAATTTATCTCCAAATTCCGACATCGGCAGCTCGAGAGCCGCACTTTATTCGTCTCTGCCGATGCCTTATTTTGCTCAGGGGCTCCTTCAACCTGCAATATTTCTTTGGGATAGAGATCACTGAGGAACCTCAAAAACGCAAAATCAACATCGGACATGGACTTACGTAACTCAGTCTGTTCCCTGTGCGTTCTTCCTGGTAAAGGAGGGACATCGACACTATCGTTGGAGGATTGTTTAGCGTTGTTTAGGTAACAGTTAACGCCGACGCCGCATCGTATAAAACCGAAGACTGTCCTCACGTTCCCATCCATCGATAATGCCGAATCCTCGGCAAAATAACATATTCATCAGCCCCGGAACTTCCCGTCCCCTTTTTAACCCAAGAGCAAAAAAGCACTAAATAGGTGATCGGGTCTTTTCGGAAGATATCAATCACGTGGAACAGTTAGCATGTGCTCTTCGAGCGGTTTACTGGAAGAAATAGCAACAGTCATAAAAAATATAGAGCAAGAGTGTAGAGTACGTCTTGGGGGGATTCGCGGGCTATGCGCTGGCGGATATACACGCAGGCCAAAATATTATATACCCTTTTCTTCTGCAGCCGAACTCCGTGAATACGAAGTGTAGCCAAAGGCAACGGATAACAACGCTCAACAGGGCTCGGGAGTAGATGCTGACCCAGCTTTGTTGGGTGATGCTATTTCGACTTCTTGGGCTGCTTTCTGAGGCTGGTGATAATCCTCTACAAACGGAGCATCTAGGCCTAAGCCTGGTGGTGGAAAGAGGTATGACAGTACGGTCATCCAGGTGAATCCCATTACCAGACCGACAAAGAAGGTGAGGTTGAATAATTTGACCCAGCCTTGCATGGCGGGGGATTGGTCCTTGTTAACTGATGCAACGAGTCCGGCTGCTCAGGTAAGAAATCAATTTCTTATTCAATGCAACCGTCAAGCGAAGAAATGGACTTACGGATTTGAGACCATATGCTGACTGTAAATGCAGCAATTCCACGCCAGTTGAAGCCGTGCCGGAACCAATATATAGATGACGAGTCTCCCTTGTATAAGTCACATAGCTTGAGTGTCTGGCGTCGAACGATGAGATAGTCCGATAGCATTATCCCGTTGCTTATATGTAAGCTTCAGTCTGAAAGTTCATTTTGAGTCATTGCCTCCATGGAAATATCTTACGTCAAGGGGGCCATGAATATCCCAAAGCCAGATAGCACGGAGAGAAACTTGTCTGCACTGGCAAGAAGTTGCCATGGCCTTGTTTTTTTATTAGCTATCGGCATACTGGAGAGCCATGTATACACTCACTGAGATGCAAGCCCAACAATGACCATGATATAGCTTCCTCTCCTGATGTTGATATATTTGGGTTGCAGGCCGGCTAGATCCATCCCGGCTGACACGGAGTTTACGACAAGTGATATCTATATCCCAATCAGAAAGTTTCAATATTTGATAGGGATAGAAACTCGGGCTAGACTTACCGCTAGTTGCGTTGAGACTGTCCCTATTGAGGCAAAAAACACACCAGCCCGGATTCGTGGGCTAGATTTATAATGTTCCTGCATAGCAGCGAGAAGTTGAATTGGGCTCCAGATGATTTCTCCAAGGATATCCTTAGTAGCGCTAGTTACAATTATCCCAATCATAGCTGTGATTGTGATTGTGATAGGAGCAGCGACTAGTTGAGATAATGTTGGTGCTAGGGGGCGATTTGCATAACGTGTCCAGTCAGACTGCCCCAGGGTACCAGCACCCCATGCACCAAGGATAGCGGTTATTCCAAACATTACGCCCCATCCGACTGAACCTGTTGTTGCTGATTGGTGAAACATCGATCCAGGGCCTCCAGCGTTCTTTACCGCCCTATGAGTTACAGTTAAACAGGGGCCAGAACCATAATATGCTCAATTTATACGTACCAGGCCAAGATGCCGATGCATGTTGAACCGAATAAGATAAATGAGATACCAAATGGGATCTGTAGTCGTTCAGGGGAGATGAGGAGTAATGGTAGGAATACGATGTACCACAGGACCATTCCAATAAAATCGTTAGTTAACAGATGGGAGCTCTCAGAAAATGTGTTTTTCATGTGTGCAAATCCCGGAATGACTGCCCCTACGAGCACTCTGGTTGCCTGGCCTCCCCTATACGGACATCAGTTTTGGGGTCATCAGCGTCGATGTGGAACAGGAACTCACCAGTAAGATTGTATTCCGAACCAGATGCATCCAAGAAAGCATCGGAGGACGATAGGAACTGTTCTCACCATCATTAGTTTGGTATAGCTATTCCAATGGGAAACAGTGGCCACCGATTCAACATACAATATGACCCTCTCATACCCCATGAGAACCGTGAAGCGACAGAGAATCCGATATGATGCCGTTCACCCATCCAGCCGCATGCAACTGCAAGTAGCCCAGTGAATATTCCGCCCGCTGCCTTTTTTGTCATATTTACATCAGCCCTTAGAAACCTCCGGGTAAAATAATCCCAAAGAGTGATACATACAACGCATCCAATTGCTTGCTGGGGGCTTAGCCCAAAGGCCAAAAGAGTGCTTCCAGTAGTCCATGCCGAAATACATGAACCAGACACCGTCCAGTACCCTTATACGAACCCATCAGTTACATCAAATACATCTTTCTATCATCTTTATATTCAAATCTTGCAGCCGGAACCATCACATACCGGCGTAACCCCAAACACCCCAAGTTCGTCGCTCTGGAGGAATCGGTATCAAGTCTCTATTGCACCATACTGTGTTTTCATACGGCGAGTCCTCATCTATCGGCCTAGTAATAACTCAACTATATCAGCAATATTCCTCGACATAGTATTGCGCAGCCAATGCCGGCTTACACAGCCAACCTGCTCTTCAACCTTGCCCAATCGACCATCCTGACGACTCAAATGGCTATATAACCGGCAGATAAAGCAATGAAGCGGTCGAGGCGGCGGAAGCGGAGCCCTTGTGGGGTCTTATACGGAGATCTGGGGTAACAAGCCGCAGGGTCAGAGTAAAATAGTTCGGCTGGCATTCTGGCTATACTCGAAGCATTTGTCTACCAGGATCATACAAACCAATGAGGGCGAAACGGCCTGTTGATCGTAAATCCGCCATTACATACCATAGTACGCCCTTGCCACTTGATCCCCGATATTCTACTTACTATGTATACTGATTGCAAAGGCTTTAGCGGAGATAGAGCAGTTTGTTTGAAACAAGCATCTGGTCATGTGTAAGAGCGAAGATAAACGAAGCGCCCCTGTCCTTGAATGGGGAGACTAGGGGAAATACCAGATCGGAGCAACTCCTAGCTGCATCTTCCTGTCGCTATCTTGATCTAGTTAGGCGAGAAGGTAGATTTAAAATGGTTAAATGGCTTGCCGGAGACGTTTGACGATGAGCCCCCTATTTGCCTCCTAACGGCTTGACCCACGCGAGAATAAAAGTTACCAAGTTGATGGGACGAGGTGGCTGAAGATGATAGCAGCGATTGACTATATAGAAGCGACGATATATGATATACCAAAGTGACAAGGGTCAAGGAAGCATATACATATAGTAACTAACTCATCAGTCGTATGGAGGTAGATAGCTAAGAGATGGCATTCAGTCTCATGGCGACATAGTCCTCAGAAGTGATAGGCTCATACTTCTTTGGCCTATCCGGACCATAACAGCCAGGCAGACAATCAATCACCTTGTCCTTGTTCGCTGCAATAAAGTACGGGATCGAATATCTGGCCCTACTCATCCTCCGACCAGAGCCATCAGTCTTCTCACTCCCCACTGGCGGAGCTCTGACACGGTGCATTGTCGACCGAAGCGTATCATTGCTCCATCTCATCAAGAAATCACCAATGTTCACCACCATGGTGCCAGGAATGTATGGCACCGAGTTGAACACGCCCTGCTTATGAATATCTTCAACCTCCAGCCCACCAACATCGTCCTGGAAGAGTAGCGTCATCGTACCAAAGTCAGTATGGGCGGCGATGCGCTCCTTTTCACCTTTACGGAGCAGCTCCTCCTCCACTGGCGGATAGTGAAGCAGTCTGGTCTGGTTATCCTTCATTGTATGGTAGGATTCGAAGAAGTGCTCGTCCAGGTCCATGCCTATTGCTACGGCGCGCAGGATATCCTGACCGACGCCATGGTTGATCTGGAAGAAGTCGTTGAAGAACGCACGGAAACCAGGGATGGTAGACTCTGGCAGCCAGATGTTGGGAGTTATCTCATCGTCTTCTCGTCCCATCTCGAACGACTCCTTGACGTCGGGAATCTTGCGGAGCTCGCCGACGGTCTCTCTGTCGAACACCATCTGCGTCACTTTTTCACGGCCTATGCCGGAGTAGCCTCGATGCCACCAGCCCTCAGGCGGGTGCGGCGCCCTGTCCTTCTCGGACTGAGGGAGCTCGAAGAGTCTTTGGCTCTGTTATGTATCAGTGGCCAGTTAATATACATATATGACCCCTAGCTATTGTGCTGACAGGGCTTTAGTTACCCAGGAAAATGCCTCGTCGACAACCTCCTGAGGGACGCCGTGATTCTTCAGGTAGACAAAACCGACATCCCGAAAGGCTTCGAAGATCTTTTGGGCTGTGGCTTTTGCCTCCTCTGCGCTTCCGTCATGAAAGGGGGCAAAGTCAACGACTGGAATTTGGCTCATGGTTAGTAGATATATCGCTTGTACAGTGTGAAAATGATGACTGTATGGGTTAAAATATCTATAGATGCAGAGAGAGAACTTCTGCTGATATCTGTCATATTGTAACTATTCAGCCCCAAGCCTTTCGTATACAAATATCAAATATTCGCCCCCCCACCATGCAACTAACTGCCACATGGCAAACTTGAACGCATCTCTTCTCCGTCCGCAGCATCTCCGAACCCGTTAGAACACCATCAAACCGCTCGGTAAAGCTTGAACTTCCCCCGGCGAGGAAAAGATTTTCCTTCAGATGCAGAGCCCCCGGCATAAAACACCGTGGATTGGTGGAATCTTCATGCCTGCGAACTGCCGTTTTAGCATAGCGAAGCGCCCAGGAAATCCGAGAGGTGGAAATTTCTGTTTGCTCGAGCGTTGGCTTCTTGAGCCTTAAAAAAAAAGTGTTTTTGACAGCTCAACAGACATTCAATAGGCCTGGCGTCCGCACAGACTCGTACTCGAACAACCATGAGAAATATGTTAAATGTTGTTTACGATGATCTCTCTTCTTATCCCCCCCCCTTCGTATCCTCCGTCTTAGTGCCCGGAAGTCGGAGATGGAGGGCTGGAGATGCCGTATACGGCTTCTCCAGACCCCTTAAGATCTATTGAACTAAACTCCACCGTCTCACCGGCCATAATAGAGCTTAGCGTGTGGGGGAGGGCTGCGACGAAGGGAGAAGTAAGCTTCTAGGCCTTCTTAATTCCTCGCATCAGGGGATCCCGTAGTTTCCGATCTCTCGCCCGGATTCGGTGGTTGTTAAAGCCATATGTAGAGCATTAAACCCCTCCCCGGTTGCCCTTTTTCCTGTTTGAAAATATCCACAGTTGTTCTTGTTGGCCGTCGCGTAGGCCAGTTCACCGAAAAGGTACCGCTATCTTTACTGTCGATACTACCTCGCAATAAATCAAGTGATATTGCGGACCCAGTTAGATTGGGGTGAGCATGGCAGACAGCGTTCCAAAACAATACCCAAAACAGCGAAAGAGCTTCCAGATAGAAACTCGCTTTGGGGGAGCTAGGGAACTGAAGAGCCGCAAGGATAGGCCGTGCGATGCCTGTCGCAAGAGAAAGACTGCATGTGTCATTGTGACTAAACCACCATGTTAGTTGTTGCCCCTGTATACTCACACGCAAACATCCCTTCTCGTTGATGTCATATAGTTGCTGAATTTTCTAATACAGGCCGCTTCTGCGAGAGCAAATGCCAGACTTGCTCATTTATATCAACACCGAAACCACGACGCCGATCACCCGCTAAAGAGCAAGGGAAAGGAAGCGAAAATGGCACTTCTCCTTCTGCCAGTGGATCGACTCATACCAGCAGTCCGAGGCCTAACAAAGCCGCGCTTTACCATTCACCATCCGACCAGCTGGGCAGAAGTGGGATAGAGGCTTTGAGTCCCATATCGACGCTGAGTGTATCAGACCAGAAACGCACAGCAACCGCAGCAGTGCCTGAATACCCAGACCCCGTACCGGGTCATCCACAAGTCATACCCATCTCCGGGCCACCATTCACTCATCCACAAGACTATTCATACTTCACCAACCCTACCGCACCTCCCCATGCTGTACCTTTGACCACAGGTGGTATAAACAATGGGTGCGCCCTCGACGAAATTACAGGCCATACAGCTCATTTCATTGGCCTATCAGGGGAACAAGACATGGATCTTCTCTCGTCTTTTCGCTCAGACATTCTCAATGAAACAAACTATGTTGACGTCAACTTCTGCCGAGTCGAACCTGGGGATCCGGCACAGGGTCTTCCACCGGTACACTTCTCAGTAGTCCGCGACTGGTTCCCAGAACGAGACCATAAGGCGAAAATGATAGCTTCAAACGGAGTAGAAGGGATAGTAGGTGATCGGGCCGATAGCCTGGTACGGCTATACTTTGAACATGTGCATCCTGCATTCCCAATATTGTCCAAGGGGAGGTTCCTGAGAGAATATATGCAGGATAAATACAAGATCCCGCCATCTTTAAGGGGTGCAGTGTACGGGCTTGCAAGCCCATTCATGAACCAGGACAGCGCGCTCTCTGGAACCCAACCTATCAACCAAGCAGATCTCTTCGAACACGTCCACTCCTCGCTGAACAGGGAGCTAGAGTCTCCCAAGATAGCAACGCTCCAAGCCTGTCTGCTCGTCTTGCACGAACAGCCCGCTGAGAATGGAACGACTGAAAGTCCAAAGGTATGGGCCTTCTCAGGCCAGGCAGTTTCATGCGCACACGCACTGGGCTTACACCGCGATCCGACCTTCTGGGATATACCAGACCAGGAGAAGAGGCTTCGCCGGAAGCTATGGTGGGCAACTTACTATACTGACAAGTGGACGTCGATATGTCACGGTAACCCACCGCACATCCATCATGGCTCTTTCGATACCAAGGATATTGAAATCGAAGATCTCGTGTCAGACGAGGATGTGGCTGGCCAGACATTCCCGGCGTTTGTGCGAGAGGGTGACTGGCCATGTGCATTATCATTAGCTGTACGGTTCATTGAGCGGATAAAATTGACCAAACTATTGGATAATGTGCTTGGATGTTCATTGTAAGCTTTAGCTCTTCAGCCTGGGCTGTGTGTGTTTATTGAGCATGACATATGGCTCTCCGGCAAGTAACTGTGTTGGCTGATGCTTGACAGCACGCTCGCTGGATATAGCGAGTCCATCAAGGGATATCTCGCGAAGGAAGAGCCGCTGCTCAGATGCCAGGCTGCGTTGCAGGATTGGATGTCGTTTCTCCCACAGTGTCTGGGCCTTTCCTTCTCACAGCAACGACTTGGCCGTTGCATCAATGGTGTGTTTTATGGAGACACTTATATAGTATATATGGAAAGAAATAGCCCCTGCTAATGCCATAATAGCATCCCTCCATCTATCCTTCTATGCGACTGAGACACTCCTTTTCAGAGCCCTGATGGCTCCGGCAACCGTGCATTCCAAAACAACGCCCTCTTCTAGCCTTAGACGACACTTCGACAGCGCTATAACCTGCTTTCAATCCTTTGTCCGGTTCGTCAGTACTATTAGACAAGATACCCTGCAGTCCTTCTGGGGTCGTCGTAAGTCTCACATCTGCTCATTCTGGATTCTTGTTCCTAACACGTCGTAGATGCACGCAGCAACTTCATTCTTTGCACTAATTTTCTTGTGTACCTGTTTCTCTGTGCCTTCACGTCTGACCGGGTCATAGCCGCTTACGAAATGTTGGAATCTTTCCACAAGTCGATCAAGCATCTCTTGTCATTGACAGATGAGAGGAATGCCGGTCTCTTGAGGCCGGCTGTGCTTCGGATCGACTCGTTCTTCGGACAGGCAGTGGAAATTATGAGCTCGCAAGCTGGTTCCGTTTCACCTGCAATGGCAGTAGGAGTCTTGGAGGAGCAGCAATGGGCGGTTTGAGAGCGTTTGTTTATAATGAGTATTCCTCGTGGCATACAGATATCTTGTTTGGCCTTGTCGGGGGTTTTGTGGTCAATTGACTTATGTTTAATGTTGTATGTTTGATGTTGTTGATGATGATTATGATTTAGAGTGCCAAGACAGAACTAGACGAACATAAAAGCAGAAATATGAACGAGCCTGTTATTGCTACCTAGGTATTATTTTCACCAAGTAAATACCACATCTATGATCGAATCCTTATGAAAAGAAAAACTTGTATTTTTTGATGGACTCAAGGAAAAAGGGGATGAGGAACATCTGTTTGAATGGCATGATTAACCGACCCTCCGCCCTATCCTGTGTATGTTGGTAAAGGTTTTTCAGTTCGTTCAGAAGAGTGGGAAAAAAAGGAAAATGGTCATCAAAAGGACATAGGAAAGACACATTAGAAAAACACATGGTATGCACTCATTAGGAAAGAAAAAAAGACATGATGAACCCAGCGCCCCTTGGTATGATGGTTTTTTGAGAAATTATGAATTTTTTTTTTTGGTGAATCGTTAAAACGTGGAGGAAGGTTTCTTTGTCAAGATGGGCGAGGCGTTTAGTCGACTTCCTCGACGGTTGGGCCGTCATCGTGCTGGGCAGCGCCTCCTGGGCCACCGGCACCGGGGAAACCGCCTGGACCACCAGCACCAGCACCAGGGAAGCCACCAGGGCCACCTTCGCCACCGGCGCCGTAGAACTTCATCATGATAGGGTTGGCAACACTGTTAGGAAAAGTTAGTCGATATTCGAATGCACATATATGAGTTAGGATAGGATTGGATTGACATACCCTTCAAGCTCCTTCTGTTGGGATTCATATTCATCCTTAGTGGCGGTCTGGTTGTCGTCGAGCCAAGCAACAACCTTGTCGATCTCGGTCTTGAGTTTCTCCTTGTCAGCAGCGTCGAGCTTCTCGTCGACCTTGGAGTCGCTCAAGGTGTTCTTGAGAGAGTAGGCATAGGACTCGAGGCCGTTCTTAGCACCGATACGGGCAGTCTCGGCTTCATCCTCAGCCTTGTACTTCTCAGCCTCAGCAAGCATACGCTCGATCTCCTCCTTGGACAGACGGCCCTTGTCGTTGGTGATGACAATCTTGTTGGTCTTTCCAGTACCCTTCTCGAGAGCAGAGACGTTCATGATACCGTTGGCATCGACATCGAAGGTGACCTCGATCTGAGGAACACCACGGGGAGCAGGTGGGATACCGGTGAGCTCGAACTTTCCGAGCAAGTTGTTGTCCTTGGTGCGGGCACGCTCACCCTCGAAGACCTGGATCAAAACACCAGGCTGGTTGTCAGAGAAGGTAGAGAAGGTCTCTGACTTCTTGGTAGGAATGGTGGTATTGCGCTTGATAAGTGGGGTCATGACACCACCAGCTGTCTCGATACCAAGGGAGAGAGGAGCGACATCGAGCAAGAGGATCTCGTTGGTGGACTTGGAGGAAGTGTCTCCGGAGAGAATGGCAGCCTGGACGGCGGCACCGTAGGCAACGGCCTCATCGGGGTTGATAGACTTGTTTGGCTCCTTGCCATTGAAGAAGTCGGAGACCATCTTCTGGATCTTGGGAATACGGGTAGAACCACCGACGAGGACAATCTCGTGGACGGAGGACTTGTCGATCTTGGCATCACGGAGGACACGCTCGACTGGCTCCATGGTGGAGCGGAAGAGATCCTGGCAAAGCTCCTCGAAACGGGCACGGGTGATGGAGGTGTAGAAGTCAACACCTTCGTAGAGAGAGTCGATCTCAATGGAGGTCTGAGCAGCAGAGGAGAGGGTACGCTTAGCACGCTCACAAGCAGTTCGGAGACGGCGGAGAGCACGGGCATTGGTGGACAGATCCTATTTATTGCAATATTAGCATCTTGTTTCTGTGAATAGAAATGAGCGGAATGGCTTACCTTCTTGTTCTTACGCTTGAACTCGTTGACAAAGTGGTTGACGAGACGGTTGTCAAAGTCCTCACCACCCAAGTGAGTGTCACCAGCAGTGGACTTGACCTCGAAGATACCCTCTTCGATGGTAAGGAGGGAGACATCGAAGGTACCACCACCAAGATCGAAGATGAGGACGTTGCGTTCACCCTCGGTCTTCTTGTCAAGACCATAAGCAATGGCAGCAGCAGTGGGTTCGTTGATGATACGGAGGACGTTGAGACCGGCAATCAGACCGGCATCCTTGGTAGCCTGACGCTGAGAGTCGTTGAAGTAGGCGGGGACAGTGATGACAGCGTTGTTGACGGTGCCACCGAGGTAGGCCTCAGCAGTCTCACGCATCTTGGTGAGGACCATGGAAGAGATTTCCTCTGGGGTGAACTGCTTCTCCTCACCCTTGAACTCGACCTGGACAATGGGCTTGCCACCCTTCTCGACGATCTTGAAGGGGAAGTGCTTCATGTCGGCCTGAACCTCAGCATCGTTGAACTTGCGTCCAATAAGACGCTTGGCGTCAAAGACGGTGTTGACCGGGTTCATGGCGACCTGATTCTTTGCGGCATCTCCAATGAGACGCTCGGTGTCTGTGAAGGCAACGAAGGAGGGGGTAGTTCGGTTACCCTGGTCGTTGGCAATGATTTCGATGCGGTCATCACGGAAGATACCCACGCAGGAGTACGTGGTACCCAAATCGATACCTGAGTAGCTGTTAGCATGTTGCCGCTCCTGATGCCGTTCCTGAGTAAGGAAGATGATGTTGACTTACCGACAGCTGGCGCCATTGTGAATGTGTGTGTGTTTATGTGAAGGAGGTAAAGTGGTATACAAAAGAGAAGAAGGGAATGATGCTTCTAGAGTGTGTGAAGCTGTCTCTGATCAAGCTGTGATCGAGATGATGTTGATGTTTTGGTGGTGTTTTTTGTTGTGTGGGTGTGAGAGAAGAAAGAGAAGAAGAAGTTGTGCGAGATGAAATATGTTTATATGCGGGCGGTGAGGTTTTTCTCTCTACCTGCTGGAAGCTTCTAGCATCTTCGCCTGGTTCCACCCTTCTGCTCCTTTCACGTCACCTTTCTCTTCACTTTCTCGCATCTTCTCCCGTGTTGTCTGGCTGTCCAGCAGTGGCTCGACTGTTCTAGTTATCTATACCATGCCTTACTCTCCTACAGCGCTGTCGTCCGTCTTCCTGCTTCATGTTTACTATCAACAAAAAACTTCATCTTTTTCGAGATGGGCTTATGACGTAATCAAGGTGGGATGAAGTTTTGGTGGAAAGTTCGCGAAGGTACCTGAGTTTACATGCATTCTTCGCGGGGACAAGAAGTATCTCGAAGGTAGCTCGCCACGGAAGTCAATTCATAGAGAACAAGTTACAGCCCAAGAGAGACAGCCAGGGAGACACTTCTGTACTTCTACCACTCTTTACTGCCTTCTGCTACGTTGATGTTTTCTTCCAAGATGTATGTCACGTGACAGACAATGACTAAGCTATCTTGACCTTCCTAACTTGGCGCCGAACTTCAACTTCACATCTTTCTCTTCACTCGCGGGCAACTTCACGCTGCTGGACTCTGCTGCTGCATACCGCTCTTACCACGCGCGCTTCGACTGATATACTTACAATGGGTGACCACACCGAGACGACGCTTCCTGGAGACGACGTTTCCATGGATACCTCCGTGGACAAGGGCAAGGGCAAGGCCGTCGAGCGCGTCCCCGACGACGTTGAGATGGAGGGAGAGGACAGCTCAGAAGATGAAGATGACCTTGTAAGTTAATTGTCCGGTCTTTTCAATATTAATGCGATGTAATACTGATGTGGTTTCTAGGAGGACGGTAAGACGTGATGCGCACCGATAGCCAACCCGGTTCAAGTACTTACTCTCGCATAGCTGTCGACGAGGACGAAGAAGGCGGAAATGATAACCTCGAGCCCATCTCCACAGACAACATCCTACCTAGCGGCAGACGCACGCGCGGCAAGGAGGTCAACTACGCCGAACTCGCGGCCAAGGAGAAGGAGGCCGGTGATGCTGCCATGGACGACGACGACGACGAGGATTTCAAGGCTCCCATCGATGATGAGATGGAACATTGAGTAGCATGCGCCTTGTAGCGAACATAAAACTGCACTTCCCATCTTCAAACCTCATATCTCTAGTTTCGCAGGCGCGGGTGTTCTGAGCCAATTTGCCTCTTTGTGATTCTTCTCTTTTTTCCCTTTCTCAAATTTCACTTTCTTCTGTGGCAGGATGGGGGCTGGCTGGCGGATTGATGGAACGGTCTTCAAAGGGAAAAATATACAAAACACACAGCAACAGTTCGGACGAAATTTTATGGGATGGGGCGATTCAAGGACGTACTCAAACGAACCAGACAGTGATCGGGGAGACTCTCGGCAAATTGTCTTTTCACAGTACCCTTTCATAGTCACGAATCAAATCTACTTATCAGCAGTAACTCCTTAACTCGACCAATTATCTAGCTCCTATTCGCGTTCCTGCGCCTTTTACCTCTTCTTCCAACCAACAGTCGTTATCCTGCTGACTAAGCACGAAATGAACGCATCGATCTAAAATTAAATGCAAGAAAACGACAAGGTCTCCTTATTCTCTTTTTTCTCCTGCTTCTTCCCCTTCCTGCGTCCCCTGCTCGAACAATGTCTCCGGTCTCTCTCTCTTGTCTCCGTGAATAAAATGGCGTCTAGGTAAGATATCCACAGATTCTTCCCCAACCAAAGAGGCTGGCGCAGTACAGTGTTACTTACAATGAATATACCAGATTCACCCACTCGACTCTCCACCAGCGAGATCCACGGTCTTCCTCCTCGCTGTTCGATTCATATAACGGTGGCAGTAGTAGGTCGCCCGCACAAGTCAGTAGTCGATCGCCCTCGCGGCCCGGTGGATATGCACAGGGGTATTCGAATGGACATATAGGTGGTGTCGGTGGTGATGGGTCCACGTACAGGACCGCCACACCGAATTCAAAGTCAGTCCTTCCATCCGCCCTATGATTACTATACCTATATATATACCTACTACTCACACGACGGTTATAGAGGCCAATATTCCGATGCGGTGCTTTCCTCGCTTGAGTCGCAGAATGACTCTGAGATAGCTGGCATCACCGCCAAGGTAAAGATGTTGAAAGATGTAACCTCTCCCCCTTCTCCCTGAAATCTACGGCTAAGATATTTTGCTAATATACTCTATAGATCACAGTAGCTATAGGCGAAGAGATAAGGGAATCAAGCTCCCTCGCTGAAAAGATGAATGATGCCTTCGATTCCTCCCGGGTCAAGCTACGGGGTACTATGAATCGAATGCTTAGGATGGCTGAGCGAACGGGCGTAGGCTGGCGAGTCTGGCTGGGCTTTTTCGTCTTCGTCTTTTTCCTCTTCGCATATGTTTGGCTATCATAGCCTGTTCTACCGTTCGCGTCGAACTGGATCCGATCGAACAGGTCAATACAAACTATATCGCTCACCTTCTTTCGTTGATGTTGGATACTTCGTTTCTCATCGGCGAACTGTACTGGATATAACCTTTTTTTTGCCTTGGGATAACTCATTAGAGGAGTTAGGGATTTCTGGTTTGTCTTCCGCCGGGCCTTGGGATGCTGTTGCTACGTACAATGATGCTTGACGCCTAACTCTCTCACTTCTTTCTCTGTGCATATGTTTGGAGTATCATGCGCATGAGGCTCTTCTGCTCGCTCTATTCTTTTCTTCAGCAAAGGCTTATTCTTAGCATGGAATCTAACACGTTGTAATGTCACTCATCCGCTGAACCATTTTCATATAAAAATAATAATTGTATTGATCATGATAATCTAAACTGGGTATATCGCCTGTTCACAAATCATCCAGGTCGGACTCCTCGTCCGCCTGCCTTCGACTTCGTCGCCGGGATATACTTAGTGGATTCTCCGGCAACATGCCGCTGGAGTCGAAATCTATACTATCGTCATTTCCTCCCCATCGTTCAAGGAAGAGCCGTTCAGCTTCAGTCTCTCGCCGGGGGGCGGAGGGCGTAAGACGGGGTATTGCCCCTCGAGGTAGACTGGCTAGACTTAGCCTCGAATTCTCCACGTCCGTATCATCCTCTTCCTCTTCATCATCATCATCATCATAAACATCCTCGTCGGAGTCTGTATGTTCCCATTCCTGCTGTCGAGAGGGAGTCTCTTGCGGCGCATCCGGTACGCTGCCATCCAAATCTCGTTCCATCATCATATGTGAATCTCCCGGTGTTCTTCTAGTTGGTGTGCGTGCCTCGCTAGTATCATCATATCCATCTCTATCTCTATCCTCTTCTTCCTCTTCCTCGCTCCCTTCCTCTTCATCATCATCATCGTCATCATCTGAGCCGCCGTCCAGCGCCTCAGGAACATCATCATCTAGATCCCGCTCCATCATCCCTTCTTCTTCATCGTCCGGAAACTCCTCTTCTTCATCTTCATATCCTTCCTCGCCTTCCTCCACAAGCCCAAATCCTTCAACGTCGCCGTCAGGGATATCACCGTCCAAATCCCTCTCCATACCCGCGTCTCCCTCTTCACCCTCCCCTGCGCCTCCCTGGCCATCCAATCCCATACCAACACCTTCACCACCTTCAATTCCTTCCATAAACTCTTCTTCCTCCACATCTCCTTCACCGACCCCCGCGCCAACACCCTCTTCACATTCCATCTCCTCTTCTCGAATGCCCATCATAGTCTTGGGGAAACCTGCAGGTCGGATCCATGAGTACCCAAAAGAAGCGATGTTCTGTTTTCGTAGTTTTAGAGCGCGTTCTTCTAAGAGTAATGCGGAGAGCGGGTCAAATGATGCAGAGAACAGAGGGGTTGCCGTTGTTGTCGAGCGTGCATTTCGACGGCCGGATTGTGGATGCTGTCCATTGGTGGTTGCGTTTTGCGAGGAGTTGGCTACAGATCGCCCCGTGTACGAGGATGAGTACCATAACGTATGAGACTATGAAGAACGATAGATTAGCAACCGCTTCATTATGGCTGTCGGTTTTGTAAACTCACATCTCTGGGCTCTATCAACGGGAGAGAACCAAACATCATCCTGCTAATTAGCCCAGTATTGTTGCCCTGGAGCTATATAGCCCGAGTAGATAATGAGTTGGGGTATCGACCAAGTTTCAGAGCTCCAGACCGGCCTATAATACACTTTTTGTCTATCCGTTGATATGTTCGTTGGTTTATGAGGCTCAAGAGCTCTCAAGAGTGTTTAGTCATGTAGAAGGGCTTGGCACAAACAGAAGGCTCCCTACAACAGCCAAAATACACATATGGCAGGCTACATGAGTATTGCAAAGGTAAACTGTTGATGAAGGTTACTCAAAGATAATATCTTCGTATTCTAGATGAGACTTAATGATCAAATACAGCAAGGGAGCATCGCATGGGTGAGGTCAGATTGAACAATGTCCAGTTCACTATCCAAGGAGTATTATAAAAACCGATAGATGTCCGATGCCCGATGTGCTGCACCTTCTGACAAGTAATATGCGCCCTGCTATGACTAATTCTTATGGCAGGCGGGATAGCCCATTATATCCCTGACACAGACATCGGGGTCCAGGCAGAGGAGTCCTCCCTTACAGCAGTTGTGAGTAAAAATGTTCATGCAGGTAACCCCCTCACAGATCCATGGTGCATAGTTGGGGCAGTTTATATTCGCCTCTGAGCGACCACGAACTGCACCAGAGTGGTTAGGGGGGATGCCGTGATTGGGATCCCCAGGCTGAATAGGAGCAGAAATAGTACCAAGGTCGAGGTTGAGAATCTCGTTGTTATCAGTTGCAGCATCACGCTTGAACGGCTTGACCGACATCTTGTTCTGAAGCTTGCTTGTGTCGATGACGGTTCCGGGGGCCCTAGTAAACTGCCCGGTGGCTGGGGCGGCTGATGGTTGAGTTGGAGTGGCCTGAACGTATGCCACGAGAGCAGCAAAACCAACGAAGAGGGAGATAGTAAGCTTCATATTTGCTTGTTGGAATTATCAAACCTATTTGATGGTGTTGTCAGATGTTGCAGGTGTTGTAGCAGGCAGATTCTTGTAGATAGGCAGTTGGGAGTTTCTAGGAACAGAATCCCTGGCTTATGAAAAGAAACAGCCTTTTATACAGTCTCCTTTGCCAGTGTATTCTGCCTGTCGATAACCATCTTCAGTGACTCGCCATTGACTGATCCAGCCCAACGGGCCAGTCAGTGATGCTTGGGGGTATCAACATGGTTATCCAACCGGCAATAGCATGAAGGCATCGAAACAGTGACTTGTAGCACGTAGTCATTCACATCACAGCCATGGACTAGGCAGCAGCCTCATCTCGTGAATGTCATTCTGATATTGAACGATGTCGCTGTTTTATCTTCACTTCTTGGTCGAGCAAGCTCTCACGTGGGCTCAGGCACGCCAAGAAAAGTGCTAGTTACCCGGATAAAATTTTCGGGGGTCAAAAGCGACATCGGCTGCAAGGGACAGCCAAGGTTCAAGTCTCAGCTTCAATCTCCGTCTTTTCAAGATTGTTTCCTTTTCGTAGATAATATTCCTTTCGATTTACGACTCTTGTTTATCTTTAAAACGAAAACGAAAAAGAATCTGCTTCAATTGAAGAAAAAATGTCTCCATCTGCAATTGCTGTTGCCGGAGCGGGCTCTGCGACTAAGGATGTCAAGAGAGAGTCTGGCACTGCTCGTTTGTTGGGATCAGGTATGTCTAGTTCATTCAATATAGCTGGAGATCTGTTACTGACTTGCTTCACTAGGGTCTGCTGGAATTGCGGAACTGCTCATCTTCCATCCGGTAAATGGCATTGCGATCTTGAAATGCATGTGAAGGGGACAAATGACTGAGAAGTTTGTACTGGCCAGGTCGATACAACTGCCAAACGTCTTATGAGCAACCAGGGAAGGGTATGCAGTCCTTCAGGCACCTCTCGGCTTTAACTCATCGCTAACCTCTACCCTCGTTAGATTACCAACATTTCCGAGTTGAACAAGGTCGTTTTTAAGGACTTCTCCTCCGCCGGAGTTGCGCGCAAGTTCACATCCCTCTTCCCCGGCCTTGGGTACGCTGCTGGATACAAGGTACGCACGTTTTTCTAGTATGGCAGGCACAGCACTGGTCCCCTTTCTAACGGGCGGCAGGTTCTGCAAAGAATATACAAGTATGGCGGTCAGCCATTTGTGCGCGATTATCTGGGCACGAATTATGGAAAGGATTTCGATAATGCTTTTGGAAAGGGTACCGGCAAGGCCATCATGCATGCCACCGCTGGAAGGTATACAGCAATGAACCTCTTTTTCTCTGTGGGTATAGACCGCTGACAGCATTCCAGTTTGATTGGTATCGGTGAAATCGTCCTCCTGCCACTGGACGTCCTCAAGATCAAGCGACAAACCAACCCAGAGGCTTTCCGAGGCAGGGGTCTATTCAAGATCATTGCTGACGAAGGTATGGGTCTTTACCGTGGTGCTGGCTGGACAGCAGCCCGCAATGCTCCCGGTTCCTTCGCTGTACGTTTCCCTCTGATACCTGTCAAGAAAACAACCTTGTAACTAACGCCCCGTCAAGCTCTTTGGTGGTTCCGCGTTCACCAAGGAATACCTCTATGGCCTCTCAGACTATAACTCCGCAACATGGTTCCAGAACTTTATCGCCTCGATCGCCGGTGCCAGTGCGTCGCTCATCGTCTCCGCTCCCCTCGACGTGATCAAGACCCGTATCCAGAACCGAAACTTTGAGAACCCAGAGTCTGGGTTCCGCATCGTCAGCAGCATGGTCAGAAACGAAGGAATGACCTCATTCTTCAAGGGACTGACTCCCAAGCTCCTCATGACTGGTCCGAAACTTGTGTTCAGCTTCTGGCTAGCACAGACCCTGATACCTGCCTTTGGAAAGGTAGTCTAAATCATTAACCTGGCCGACTACCCATTCTTCTCTTTCTTTTTACGGCACCGTGCCTAAGGAGGCACGGGTTCTTTCTCGCCCCGGTTGCGTTCTATTTACGATAGATTTTAATATCTTCGCCCGCTGTTCCTTGTATTTATAGAGAATCGTCTCCCCTTTATGGTTATATGTCAGCCATGTTTCTGGAGTTAATGCAAAGTATGACTTACCCCTGGAGACCTTCAACAATCTGAATCTGTAGATGCCTTCTAGCTAGCTAAATCAGAGCTACGTTTGGCCGTTAATATAGAAATTATATTGCTAATAAACCTATTATAATCTACTTTAAGGATTGTCCACCCATTGTCGGCCTCGAGCCAGGTTTTGCCCTAATAATGAATTGAGTCAGGGGGTTGGTTGGGCGATTACCTGGCGAAAAGCGTCTACGTCCGTTCACAAATCTACAGCCGTAGTTTTGAGAGTGGCCCGGCCATGGCGGCAAGAGTGCCAATAACCATCAAACCCCTCCATCTCCATCTTACCGCTTTGTATTAAACAGAATGTTCGATAGGCATCCTATCCTATTGAGCATCGGAGAACGAGGCTTGGATGGAACTGGGAATGTCAAGCCCTTGAACATAAGACGGAGTAACGTGGGACCATCTTATCTCATAGCCTTCTACGCCTGGGGATCCATTGCAGGCTATTGTCTGTTGCTGGGAGAGGGTTATCCCAACTATCCCCGAAGACGGGCCTGTTACCCCCTTTAGGGTCATATTAACGCCAAGCAGTCACAGGGGGAACTAAGGAGAAGGCTCTCTATCCTTCACTCTTTACTCCTTCACTCTTTACTCCTTCACCCTTTACTCCTTCACCCTTTACTCCTTCACTCTGTCCTTCCTTCTATTTCCTTTGGGGAATGTTTGGGGTGTCCGCCAGATTATAAAAACCCCTTCTCCCATCCCCCTCGCCTTCATCTTTCTCTTCATCTTTCTCCCTCTCTCTCCTTTGTGTCTCTCGGGCAGACTAAGTACTTACTATGTTTACTAGGTACAGTTCCATGACGAAAACCTTGGTAGTTACGCCAAGAAAACGTCATCGACAGAGGAATAGAGGACGAGGGCAAGTTCAAAATATTCCGGCTCTACAAAATTATCATCTAACGCTGTCGACAGAACTGGATAGGCTCTTTTTATAAGAGATGGTTACGACACCAGGGGGTCCGGAGGAAAAGCTCATGAAGGAGTTACAAACCTCAGACATGGTCTTTGATCAGAGCCAACGCTCATTCGGGAACAAAGCCGGCGTCGGTTTACTCCAAGAGTTACGAAACATACGCGAAGAAAATAGGGAATTTCGAAGCAGAATCGAAGAATCAACCAGGAGAATTGAGGAATCAAACAGGGAGTCACAAAAAAGAATCGACCGAACATATAGAGCAGCTATGATGAGTGTTATGACCCTCCGTGCTCCAATTTACCATCTGCATTCAGGTGGCCAGATCGGCCCAGAGTACAGAAGACGGAGAAATGCAGTCGCCCATGGTGGCTCTGTGCTCACAGACATATCGATCTTACATTATCTCGACGATACAGCTGCTTTTACGCGATGGGCTACCGGATTTGAAGAGATATATTGTATGCCGTTCCGTTATACCCAAACACTATCTGAAAGCTCAAAGATGGTTGTATTGCTAAACATCCATGCCGATGTTCTACTCCTCGGGACCTACTCTACCTATCAAAATAGCGAGGAAATAAAAAGGAAATGCAAGTCGATCATTAGGTTATGGAAGAATGCGTTTGATACGCAACGTGATCCAAATGGCATTTTCGAGGGAGCAGCTGTTGCGAAAGTGTATGATAGTATCGTCCAGTGGTTTTATGCAGTGTAGATAACTATGACAATTATAGAAATCTGTCGGAATCTGCCATTCGGCCAAAAAGGCGAACCCCGACCAATTGGCGGCAGAGAGACTGGTTATATTTGACAAATTCATTGGGACGTATTTATGCCTGTGATGTGATTATTTCCATAATCTTACGTTGTTTTTCCCAAACTTGAAGTAAACGGCTGTAGGACCCCCTTACCTAGCTACGAATGAGATGGGTTTTGGTATGTATACTCGAACATCCCGCTCGACTATTTCGAGGCCCATCTTAGCACTATATAGGTTGACTTTCGAGATGTTTCTATAAAAAGTGTTCTATACGTCTCAGATACTAGAGATGGCGTTGAGATGCAACCTATGCTGCACTGTAGTCTGACTTCGGGATTATTGCTCGATCTACCAAGTTACATCTTTTGCGCCTCCAAAAAAAAAAAGAAAAGAAAATAATGAGTATCACGTGACATAGCTCTTGCCCAGGTGCAGCTTATTTCTACTTCCAACATTGAAGCATGAAGGCCTTGACGTTTGTAGCGAACAAGACTACCAACGCTCACTTCTCCGCAAACACTTTACATAATGGCGGCGCAAGTGGCATACCCATATCTCATCTCAAAGTAAACCATATGCCATTAATCTTTCTTCTACGGTTACCGGTGCAGAACCCTACTAACATCTCTCTAGAGTTGCTGATCCTATCTTCGCCATAGTAATAGGTAGCTCAGCTGCATTTCTTCGAATAAGACGCGAACACCGCGAACGTTTCCCCGATCAACCCTCTGATATTATTTCACTACTGAGCCTAGCGAAAGGAAGAGCAAGCAGGTGGTGGAATAACTGGGAGTGAGAGACCATATCCGCGATATGAGAACTACAGCTATCTACATGAATGTGATGGGAGATTTACAGCACCGATCAATACTTCTCCAACACAGAAACAGCACCAGAGCAGGCGAAGAAATTGTGGCTATTAGTAGTCGGTGTGTACTCTGTTTTAACTTTGTGATACCTGAACGGCGTTTCTAGTAAAGTGACTGAAGATGAACTGCATCGAGGTAGAATAGCATAGCTCCTTTGTGATAGGAGGTTGAGGAAGGGAGTTTGCGGAATAAGCCTACCGTCGCAATTTTTTTTTGCATATTTTCCGTTTTGACCTTGTACGTCTGTGAAGTCATTCGTATGTATGAATGGCATGGAAAGGAACCTATTCATCCGGTACGCTTGTATTATTTAGAACAAAAATAAAGTACAAAAGCGTGACCAGTATGCAACAACATCACTGATGAGTATTGATCGTGATAAAGAAAGCTAGACTGTAGTGCGAGACCGAAAATGACAAGTCACCGGGAAAGGGGGAAGAAAGAACCAGGAGCAGAAGAGGCGTCACCACTGATAAATGCGACCAGACGCACCGTAAGCTGTTGAACTGGTGTCGATTAGGCTGTATTATGGCGACATGTCACCTCTTTGCCTGCTCTATTCAGCTCGCAAGCACTCAAACGCCGGATACCAAGTCCACATCCTGCCAAAAGAAGGGAAATAAAGCCAAAAAAAAAGCCAGGTTGAGGAGCCGAGGAAAACCAGGTCATTCCTTCATATATCTCGCCGTATTAGATCGTTTATTAAAAGGTAGGGACGACGGATGGCGGCCATATCTCCCTGGCTGCTGAGAGAATGGATTCTATAACTATTCGGATAAGATGAAACCAGATGACGACATAAAAAGACCCTCATAAACACCATTAAATTGAAACCAGACGAAGAGAGAGTGCATTTATTGCAGCTCGGGACACGCCCCGAATGTGTTTTCGCCGGAGTATCTAAGCAAAAGCACACGGTCAACCACATGGATAATCGTGGAGAGTAAGGAAAGAAGTAGGGTTCGGGGAATACACACGTGATGTACAAGAAACCGTCATCGTCCTTGTGCTCCTCATAAATGCTGCTCATGAGGGCGGCGGTGGGCGGAAGTACTTCATCGACGAAGATGAAGATGGCCTTCTCGGGGGACAACTTGATACGCTTTCGGATGACATATACGAACTGACCGACAGTCAGGTCTGCGGGGACGAGGTACTTCTTCTTGTCAATGGTGGCGATATCTGACTTCTCGACCTTCTCGCAGATGACCTAGAGGCAAGAGAGAATGTGTTAGTTGCTTATGATTTATGAAGCCAGAGGCCAGCATCTAAGGGGGATGCAAAGAGGCTCATACAGGAATGCGGTCAGCGTATTTCTGGCGGATACGCTCAGCTTCTGCCTTGCGCTTCTCGAATGGGTGCTCGTCCTTGAACTTCGATCGCATGGTTGCTGGTGTTTTGTCTAGCTTGCTAGCTTGTAACTGCGCTGATAAGAGTGCTGCTGGCGATAATATGCTGGGCTAAGGGGGAGTCGTAGATGCAGGGTGTTGCTGTTCTGTATAGCAAGAGGAGGGAGAGAGAGAGAAGAGTAAGGTAAGAGCTGGGACCCCGCGTACTTAAACGGAAGGCGGTGGGCACGGGACGCTAAGGCTGGATATGGATTAGCGCTAGTTCCACATGACGTGACTGCCTGACTGAAGGCGGTGAGTCAGCCACGTGACACATTATTTGGATGACTAATCCCTCCCTTTCAAGACGAACAAGAAGAAGAAGCAAAAAGAGATGAAAGAGAAACGAAGAGGGAGAGAAGAGTGACTCACGAGCGACGACGATGATGGGAGCCCCTTGCAGGAGGGGCAAAGACGTGGCCATGGCTACTTGGACTGACCCTGCAGCTCTATCATAGGCTTCCAGGCTTGGTGTACACACAGTGGTCGAACTATACATAGTATAACCTAACAGTTCTTCCTTCGATCAACAGGCACCACCAACGATCTCTAGGCAGCCAACATGAGTAATGACTCGCATCTCACCCGCACATGACTCTACTCCCGGGCTTCCCACTTCTACCTTTGGGGCCGAAACATATCAGCCAATGTTTGCGTTTTCTTAGTAATAATACTTTGTATGGAGTTTGCTTCTTAGGGTGTGGCCTGTTTATATCACGTGATAATGATATGGCCCGGAGCTTTTCTTATCCGGCAAAGGAGCTTGGACATATAAGACGAAGACAAGACAAACATCGGCCCTGGAGTTCATTGCTATCTCATTCTTTTGTTTGGGATATTGGGTTCTATTTGGTTATAATTGAGCATTTTGGGTGGTTTGCATATAGCTGGATACTCATGGCTACTCCTCGCATATCCGCGATCCTTTCAAGGAATCTACGGCGTGTGCCCTTTGCACAATACCAATGCCTCCGGAATACAAGGCGTCAAGCCCATAGTATAGCCAGTGGTTACGTGGGAAGTTCAAGAAGAGCTCTACCCTTCATTGGCTTTGCGACGGCCTTCACGGCACTGGCACTATACTCCACGGTTTGCGCTATCACCCTTACTCTACGCGAAAGCCCGTCTGCTAACGATACCGGTAGTCTTCCTCCACACCCATCTCCCTCGAGGCTCCTACCATTGCCAAGCTCGATGAACAAACAAAACGCCAGACTGAAATAACGTCTTCCTCGCCTATGCGTCTGCGCATGGAGAAAATGATAAAAGAGCAACAAATGCGAATAATTGACGAACTCTCCAAGGTAGACGGTAAATCTTTTACCATTGACGAATGGAATCGTCCCGACGGAGGAGGTGGTATTTCATGTGTCTTACAGGATGGAAATGTGTTCGAAAAGGCTGGTGTCAACGTCTCTGTTGTATATGGCAAATTGCCCCGCCCGGCAATCGAGAAGATGCGCGCAGACCATAAATCATTCGTCTCAGCAGACGTCGAGTCTTTGGATTCTTGCCG